CTGCCCCTGCGGAGCCGCGGGCACTGACCGTCCTCCGGGGCCAGAGGTGCTCGCTGGGCTCTGAACACGTGTTGGTTTTAGAAGAAAAATAAACCGGGAACGCTGTTGTCCTGCTGTGACCCCAGACCGGCCACAGGCCGCCCGGTGACCCACCTCCGTCCACGATGGCCTCGTAGGCGGCCTCCAGCAGCAGGCGCAGTTGGGGGTCCATCGTGTGCGCCTGCTTGGCATGGACCCCGAAGAAGGTGGCGTCAAACTTGGACAGGTCCTTCAGCTTGCCGGCCCGCCGGGGCAGGCCGTACAGCCCTGGGGACACAGGCGGAGGGGGGGGGGATGTCACGGGCCCAGGGGACGGGCAGGGAGTTGTGCGTGTGCTCCCCGGGAGGAGGGCGGGCAGGGGCCCCGCTGCCCCGGCCGCAGACCCCCGCCGGGGCTCCGCCGGGCCGGGCTCCGCGGTGCTGACTCACACCCCGCAGATCAGGTAGGGCGGCTCCGCGGAGGAGCCTACGGGCACGAGGGAGTCAAACCAGCTTCCCCAGCGCCCGGCGTGTTATCTAACCTCGGACACGTGGGCCGGCAGTGGCCCGAGGCTCTGCAGGGACAGGGCGGTGGGCGGGCAGGGGCGCTGACCCACTTGGCTTTGCCCTGGCCGTGCCCCAGGCTCTGGACCCCAGCAGGTCACCCAACCCGGCGCAGAAACAGGCAAGGCCGGGTGCCAGGGCCGACCCGCAGCCTCCAGGGGCCGGAGCCCAGACCCCACTTCGGCCCCATCTCCAGGAGGAGCCGGGCAGCCCCAGGCAGCAAGGGGAGGGGGGCCGGCGGAGCAGGCTGCCCACTCACCGGCCTTCCACCGCCTGTCGTCGTCCGTCACCATGTCCACACCGCCGATGAGGTTCTCCCAGAACTCCTCCAGGTTCTCCGACTCGGGAAGCTTCCCGGACATGCCGGCGATCACCACCTCCTCCATGCTGCTCCCTGCGGGGCCCAGACACAGCTTCGCTCGACCTGCACCGCCCACCCCTCCACGTGGCCCACCCGCAGGTCTGAGAGCCGCAGCTCAGACAGCCCCAGACCAAGGGGCGGACGCCCGGATGGACGCCTGGTGTGCGTGTGCAGGGGGTCTGGGGTGGCAAAACCCGGCCCATCAGGCCCTACCCTCCCTCTGCGGTCAGCACTGGCCCATCACAGCTGGGGCCCTGGCCTGGGGTGACCCCACCGCAGCCCCCTGCCTGGGCCCACCCACAGCAGCCAGTGGCCTCTGCGACCTCCTGCAAGAGGCCACCCGGCAGAGACAAGATCCTCCCCCACCCCATCCAGCAGCTAAGAGCTGGCCCAGGGCTCAAGTGGGCGAGGAGAAGAGGCGCCAAAGTCCGATGGAGGGAAATGTGGGGAGGGGAGGACACCAGCCGCGAGGAGCAGCCCTGCACTCGGCCCCCGTGCACGCTGCCCCGAGAACAGCCTAGGGCTGCCAGGACTCGGGAGGAACCGAGGACCGGGCGGGGCTCTGGGGGAAGGCGGCCTGTGCGCGCCGGTGGGCCAGCCTGGGGAGCCTCTCCTGGTCGGGCGCCAGCACCGTGCTGCCAGGCCGTGCACCTGTGCGGGCGAAGCCGCAGGGCGCCCCGGCTCAGCTCCCTGTAGCCGCCGCAGCGCCCAGACCCAGGTTCCCCAGGCGCCTCCATAGCCCCCGAGGGTCGGGGCAGAGCCACGGTTGGTCTCGCAACTTCCACCGAGGCCCCAGGGCCTCTTGGTGCTTGTAACCTGTGGCCCCGCCAACCACCGGCACTCCCAGATCTCTGAGCAAGGGTGGGTAGGTGGGTGGGTGGGTGGAGGACAGCAGAGACTTCCTTGGGTGGCCCGGCTTCCCGCTGTTCCCGTAGGGAGGGAGCCTCCTCCCCCGGCGCTGAATAAAGAGTCCTTTGCCGGCCCAGGGCACCAGCTCCCAGGCGGCTGCTTCCTCCAGAAAGCGCCGGCTCTGTTCTCCCCTACTTGCTATTCACCCGGAGTCCCGCGGCGGAGGAGGCGGGGGTGGAGACCCCCGCAGCGCGCCCCGCCCCGCCGCCACCGCACCCGGCGGGAGCTGCTCATCCCCCAGAACTTTGGGGGCTCGGGGCTGCGCCCACGTGGTGGGGAAACCTGCCCGTACCCGGCTCCGGGGCCTCCCGGCCATCTCCCTCCCTTCTTCCTGGCCCTCCAGTTGGCTGAAAAGGCGCCCCCGGGTCGGGCTGAGCCTCGGCTTCCCAGCTGTCGGGGGCGCAGGGTGCCGCAGATGGAGGGGCCCAGCGGCCCGGCCCGCATGGAGACCTTTGTGGGCGTTGAGGCCGGGCGCGCACCGGGCGGCAGGGGCTCCTACCGGTCCTCGGCCCACCTCGAGACCAAAATGGCTGTTCGCGGGCCTCCCCGGCGGCCGCCCCTCGCCATCGCCCACCTGCCCCACCGGGCCTGGGGCGCGGCGCGTCGGCCCTTCACCGCCCGGCCCCGGAAGCTCCGCGGTGGCTCGCCCAGCAGACGGGGCCTCGGACCGCGAGACCCGGGCGGCCTCTTGGGGCGACCCCTCACCACGGGCGGACCGTGCGCTTCCTGAGGCAGGAGGATGCGGGCTGGCGGCCGCCCCGGAGCCCGGCCGCGCCGCCCGGGCCCCGAACCCGGCCCGGTCCGGCCAGGGCCGCAACCCGGCCCTCGGCTGGTACCTGATCTGAGCGCGGGCGGCAGTGCGGGCGGGCGGCGGAGAGCGAGGATGGAGCACCGCGGAGGTGGGGAAGCCGGACCGCTGCCGTCTCTCTGGCTCCCTCTAGGCCGGCGCCGACTCTATTTAACCGCGGCCGTCCCCGAGCGGACACGCCACATGGGCTGACAGCTTGGCTGCGCCTCCCAGGCCAATGAGCGTCGGGGCTGCGCCCCGGGACCCGGCGCGCCGCCGCCAGTGGGGTGATGCGGCGCGCCGCGGGCGCGCGCCGGGACCCCGCGCGGGGGCGCGCCCGGGGGCGCTGAGATGGTGGGCCCCTACTTCCGTTCCCCGCTTGGAGGGCACGTGGCCTGCCCCCGCCCCATACCTTCCCGGGCCGCCCCCACCCCCGGGGCCAAGGAGACCACGTGTGCGCGGCACGGGGGTGAAAGGGAGCGGGGTGTGTTTGGGCCACTAGGGGGGTCACACTGGGGCCACACTGGGAGCCCGGCAGACAGAGAGGACCGACGCGCGAGCCCGCGTCCGGGCCGCGCAGAGTGGGGCGGGGCGTGGCTCGCTCCGCAGCGGCGCCCAATCAGGGGCCGGGGGCGTGCTCCCCGGCCCAATGGCGGCGTGCGAGTGGGCGTTGCTAGGCGATAGGGTGATGGGCTGGTCTCGGACTGCGCGGGACGCCGCGGGCTAGCGCGGTCGTTGACCCGGCCAGAGCCCCCGGCGGGGTTACTGCTGGTCACTGCAGCGCGGGCCTGGTCCTTCCTGCTCTGCTGTCCCACTTGGCGGTGCCGGCGCGAGAAACCGGGGACCCCTCCGAGGCCCGGCAGTAGCCGAGCGGGCGCATCGCCGGCTCCCTGGAGCAGGCCTTGGGTTGGGGGCGCGGCCATCTGGCGAGCGGGCTCTTCACCAACACCACTCGGTGTGGTTGGAACAAAGGAGCCTTCCTGGGCAGGGGCCCTCGCGCACGCACATGGCCACGCACACCCACGCGCGCGCAGGCGCAGGTTCAGCCCTGTGCCTCGGCTCACTGGCGCGCCTTCCCTTGTAATCCTGCTCAGTTACCGACCTGAATTCAGCTCCAGCCCCGCGGCTCTCGGGGGGGGCAGGGTTTCTGACTCCCGCGCAGTGGAAAAATGGGCAGAAAAGGAAAAAGGGCCAGAGGGCTCCGAGGTCCGACAGCTGAATTGCTGTTCTGAACCACCTCTCCGTGGAGGTTTCTTTCTCACGATACCTGGTACCCAGAGCCAGGAGCGGCTGCGCCAGTCGGAGACTTGCTCATGGGCTCTGAGGTGCTTCTAGGGAAGGTGACCTGGCATCTCTGTTCCCTTTCTCAGCTAAAGGAAGTCATGCGGCCACGCCTCACTGGAAGGGGCACGTGGAAACAGCAGCGCACTGAGCCCTGCTGAGACCCCCACCCTGGGCAGAACTAGCCTCTTGGGGAGGGCCCCTCATGCCCACTTGTGTTTACAGGGGGCCGAGGGAAGCAATTTCTGATGCGCAGGGTGAGGCAGGAGCCACTGAGCACCCCTGAGTCCTGGGTCTGGGATCCTGGGCCCTGCCTCGGTGCCACCCTGTGCCCCCACACCTGTGAGCTGGGCGGGCTCAGGACACTGCAGCCACAAAGGCCACCTGATGTGCCCGGGTCATACAGCAGGGAGGCGGAGGAACAGCCCCCCACCCCCAGCCCGCTGGGAGAGCTGGCCGCACCTACGGGGAAGCCTTGACCTGCCTGAAGGCCGGCCGTGTGGCTTGCCGCCCCAACCTGGGGTGGGGACGGGCGTCCCTGACCCTCCACAGTGCTGCAGGCAGGAGCCCTCTGGCTGTGCCAACCAGGTGCAAACGACAGAGGAGAAAAGGGCCGAGGGCTTCGGAGGAGCTAAGGAGCCCAGGGCTGCCTTCCCAACCGCTGCCTCCCAGGACGGGCGCCTGTGGCCGGCTGCTGACTCAGCAAAGAGAACCCCAAGTGTCAGGACCGGTGGTCACGATCCTTGGGACGCGGTTTCCTCGTGGGGGAGTTGGGTGTGGCCTTGTAATACGTGGAACGGAGACACCAGTTTCCGTGTTTGTCCCTCTTGCACGTGCTGAGTCTGGGGCCACATCCGCCCCAGCAGCACCCCGGCACGGGCGCCCTGGCGTGCAGGACACGGCGGGGGCCCCATCTGGACACGTGGGGTCACCCAGCTCCACCACTTTCACTGTGGACCACCCCTACCCCCCACCCCCGCACAGTGCTCTCTGGGGGCGGCTTTCGTTGTTTGTGGCGGGCAGGCATTCCGACTGCTCTCTGCCAGGCAGCGCACAGGTGGTTGGCTGTGGGCGGCGACTCAGGCTGCTGGCGAGGCCCTGACGCTGCTGCCCAAGTAGGCCAGGTAAACAACACCCCGGCGAGAGAGAGGGGGAGGCACAGCTTTAATGGGATCCGCACCTCCTCTGCGAGATGCCCCACCAGCGCGGGGGACCCCGTGCCGTGGCTCACAGTACCCCCCCAACCCCGTGTGCACACACACGCACCCCCTGCTGTGGAGAGAGAGGAGGGGAGGGGCGGAGTCAGTCCTTCACATTGTAGTTCCGGATCTTGGGGGCCCGCTGGCAGCGTTTAGGGTTCGCAGGGTGAGCCCGGGGAGGTCTGGCGGGTGTGGCCTTGGCCTGGGCGTCCATCTTCACCCCCTGGACGGCGAAGGCTGCCCGCGTCTCCCTGGGGCGCCCGCTGACGGGTCTGGGGCGGTCGGCTGCTGCAGGCTCCGTGAGCTCTGCCAGGCGAGAACCCGGAGGAGAGCGCGTCACCTCACGGGGCTGGGGTGTGGGTTTCGGGAGCGGGGCCCGGCCACCCTGCGCCCTGGTCCTCCCCACAGGAGCCCACGCGGGCCAGGCGCCCTCCCACAGGGCCCAGCCACGCACTGGGCCCTGAGCACCTCCAACTGCCCGGCAGCCCCAAACTTTACCTTTGGAGATTCCACTGTTTTTCCAAATGTTTGGAACTAAGGATGTATTTCTTTTGTACAATAATGATGTTGTCATTAAGAAGCAATCGTAAGATGCAAGCCCAGGATTAGCTCCCCCTCATGGGGGCCAGCAGGCCGGGCGAGGGGCCGAGACGCCTGGCTGATGCCTGCTCTCTGCACAGTGCCCAGCTGTGAGGGGAGTGAGGTCTTGGGGGCCACCCAGCATGTGGCCGTGTGAGGCACAGGCGGGCCCTGAGGACAAGCGGGCCCTCAGGCAGCCTGGGAAGGGAGGCGCAGGGCTGTGTGGGGCGGGGGCCACTGGAGGACCAGGCCGGGGAGGCGCACCGTGGCCTGCCGGTGCTGGGGCGGAGGTCTGCGGGACGTGCCCCAGTGCCCAGCCCTCCCCTGGGGCCCCTTCTTTCCTCCTGTGCTTCCCCAAAGTGCCTTGGGCTCCCACACCCCAGGGCCTCCCTCCCGCACTCTGGGACACTCCTACTGCCTGGCCTCTGAGCGCCCAGTCCTGGGGGGGGCAAGGGTGGAGGCCTCAGATCCCAGCCCCTCTTGACAAGCAAACCAGCAGGCTCTGACCTCGGTCAGCGGTCACTTCCTTCCTGCCACCTGGGCACCCTGAGACGCGGGCTGGCGGGGGCAGGGGGGACTCTGAGCCCAAGGACAGGGTGCTGGCCCTGGCACCCCCTGTGGTTGCCGCCCCACCCAAGTGGCCGGACCTGTGCTCCCGCTCCGTCCAGTGGCTAGCTCGCCTTCTCCTTCTCACCCGACCTGTTCGGCCAGCCTAGCCCAGGCGTCTCCTCCGGCCCTGGCCCCTGGTGGGCCCCGGGAGACGGCGGGCAAAGGGCGGGCTCCTGCTTCCCATGGGGCTGCTGCTGGTCCCCGAGACCGAGGCCCTGTCCCTGAGCCCCGAGCGGGACCGAGCCCGCCAGCCCCTCCCGGGGGCAGCTCCCTGGCCGACGGTGCCCAGCTCGCGGGCCTGCCCCTGGGGCCTGGACGGACCCTGTGAACCTGCGTGGAGTGGAGGAGTGTCCTCCAAGGGGCAGCCCTGGTCCCGGCTCCCTGCCGGCCGGGAGCCCTCGCCCAGCCCATCCACATCCGGCTCCCCAGAGCTGCCCGCCCCCTGCCCGGGGCTGGGGTGGCGCTCAGGAGGAGGCCTCTGCAGCCGGGCCTGTCCCCCCATCTTCCCTTCTTTGGGGCGACGACCTGCCTGTCGCTTCCTCTGGGAAGCGAGGGATGGCCCTCGCTTCCTCTGAGACTTCCTGCTTCCGCGGGAGCCCCGCACACGCCCCGCGCCCAACACCCCACGCCCCCTCACCCTGGCCCTGAGCCCCTTTATGACTATGGGCTCACAGGGATCCAAGCCCACAACCTGGGAAAGGAGATAAACTTCATGAAAGATACCTTTTCCAAAGGGGCCCGTGGGGGGCTGCACCGCGGGGTCAGCCAGGCCGGCCCCGGCCTGGGGCCCCCAGGGGCCACACAGCCACTGGCTGCCCTCTGCTCCCCTTGGCGGGAGGACAGCGGCCGGTGAGGCAAGGCTCTCCTTTCGCACAGAAGCGCAGCCACTCCGGGGTGGGCGGGGAGGGTGCTCCCAGCGTCTCTGCTGCTCCCTGTCTGACTTGGCCCGAGCGGGAGCCGCACGGCTGGGACCCTGCAGACAGGTCCCGGGGGCCCAGGCGGCCTCTCGGCGGCCTCTGGGGGCAGTGTCCGCGGGACCACACTGCAAGTTTCGGGGTGCGAGGTCCCCGCCTGCAGGGCGTGAAGCCTGCGGCATCGGGACCACGGCGGGCGTGTAACGGGGTCCGAGCGTGCCGCCTCGCCCCCCGGCTGCAGCGGCCAGGCCTGGGAGGCCCCCCGCCGTCCCTCCCGAGTCGCAGAGGGGGCCTTGAGCTCCCTGGCGACGACGGCCCTGCAGCTCCCAGAGGACGCGTCCAGAGGGGACTCCCAGCAGACGCCGCGAGGACGCAGGAGGCGAGGCCGGGGCTGTGCCCGGGCAGGCGGCGGAGCGGGGACGGGCCAGGAGGTGAACGCGTGGGGGTGCACGTGGTCCCGGAGAGGGCGTCCCCACCGAGCAGGATCCCGCGCGCGAGGCACAGGTGAGTGCGGGCGCTTCATGCGGGCACGAGCGCCTCAGACTGGGTTTGAGGAGCAGCCGAGACCCGACCCCATGGGGGGTGAGGACACGTGGGGCTGGAATGAAGGGGGTGGAAGTCGGCCACAGGCACCGACCGAGGCAGAGCGGGCTGGGCCACGCGGTCCCCTGCGGCTCCTCCGCTCGCCCACCCGCTGCAGCCCGCGCCGCCGAGAGTGCACTGGCTGGTGCCGCCATCAGACACGGGAGCCGACGGGGAGCCGGCCGCGGCCGGGGCGGGGCGCGTCCCAGTCCGCTCCACACGGAGGGAATGGACCTGGGAGCCGACCCCGCCCCTCCCCTCACCGCCTCGCCCACCCCCTGGTGGAGTGGCGCCTGGCTGGAGGAGGAGGCCGGAGGTGAGCCAGGGACCTTGCAGCCGAACGTGCAGGACACGCTGCCACCCACTGCGAGGCGCCGTGGCCACCCGGAGGTGACCACCTCCCGCCTGAGAAGCTGGAAGAACGCACCAGAACCAGAAACGAGGAAATCGTAAAGGCAAACTTCGGCGGAACGGAAGCCCCAGGAGCACGAACAGAACCCCCAGCCCGTGGTGCGTGGACACCAGTAAGACTGACCGGAGCACGGGGGGGGGGGCGGGGGGCAGAGGGGGGGACAGCGGGGCAGCTGTCCGTGCGCCAGTGCAGGAAGCCCAGTTCGGCGGAATTCACGGGGAATTCCGAAACCAGCGTCAAACAAAACGGCATGTCGCCCGTCGGGCCGCCGCGCCGGGGGTGGGGACCTAGACAGTGCACCTCCCCTCCCTGGACCCCCGCCGCCCCCCATGCCGCTGGGGAGGCGACGAGGCTGCTCCCACGCAACTTCCAGAGCGGCCGAAACGGCAGGGAACAGCCCGTTTCCGTCTTACTCGTCGTTCTGAAAGGGAGGGAGAGAGCGGACACCGGTTGGCCCTTTTTATCCCTTAAGCAGGCGAGGGCAGCACAGGGACCCGCAGGCCCACAGAGCCGTGCGTGGGGCTGCCCAGGCCGCGCAGCAGCGGATGGGAGCTCCGTCAGGCGGGTGCTGGAAGTGGGTCGCCATCAAGTGTGGGAAGAGCGAAGGGCTTCGGTGTGAGGTGCCGGCGGCCAGGCGTTGACCTGCGTGGTTGGTGCGCGGCCCAGTGCGCTGGCGGGGACCGCAGCCAGGAGCAGTGCAGAGCTCTGGGCAGGACACCGCACACGGCCACTTCCGCAAGCCTGAGGCCGGCCGACCAAGGCGGGGTCACCACCGGGTGAGGGCACGGACGGGGCGCAGGCCACCGGCGGCCGCGGCCTCTGTGAGCCCTCCGTGCCGGGCGTTTGCGGCAGCGTCTTTCCAGGCCAGCGCTGGGCCCGCCTCACCGAACCACTCCGGGAGGCCGGGCTGGGCCGTGCGGGCTGGGCCGTGCAGGTGGCGCTGGGGAAGAGCCCGGGCGCACACCCAGCCCACTGGCACACTCGGCCTGACCCCTGTGGCCACACACTGCTGGCCACTGGAGAGGTGATGGGCGGGTCGGGGGCCCCCGGGGCCCCCACACCCTCTCGACTTCGCACCTGACAGACGGGCTTTCGTCCAGCAGCTGCACCATCCGGGTCGCAGCCCCGCACTCGGTCGGGACACACGGTCCTGGGGGAGGCGCCTCCCGGGCCTGGGGCGCCACCAGCGCGCGAGCAGAGCAGCCGGCGTCCCAGGGAGGCGATGGGCCCCCCGCGTGCTGGGCGAGCCCGGAGAGAAGGGCCAGCACCTGCGCTTTGGACAGCCCGCTGGCCTGGCCCGGCCCAGCCTGGGGCTCGTTTGGTTGGAGCATCGCCCCGTCACCAAAAGGTTGCAGGTTCGATCCCCGGTCCAGACAGGTATCGTCCCCGGCCAGGGCGTGGACAGGAGGCGGCCAGCGGACACCCCTCTCTCTCACCGATGTTTCCTTCCCGTCCTCTCTCTCTCTAGAACAGCGACGAGGAAACAAGCCCTCAGGTGGGGACCAGAGCCCCCGTGAGCTTTGTTCTGCCTGAACTCTCGAAGGTTCTGCGTGCGGCCCGTTGAGGGGGACCGGGCCGTGGTTGCCAGGCTCCCGCCGCCTCTGGAGAGGGGCCTGCCTCGGGGTCCACCGCGCCCCCCTCTGCGGGGTGCGCCCCCCCCTTCCCTTCGGCTGCTCTGCAGGTCCCATCTTCCTCGCGGGTGCCCGGAACCCTGGCCGCGCGGGCCCCTGGGAGGCGCCCACGTGATTCTCCTGCCGCGTGGGGTAAACTTCCCGAAACCCCAGGTTGAGTTTTCATCAAATGTAGAAAAAAACTGGCCATGATTTCTTCAGATACTTTTCTGCCCCCTCCTTCCTTCCTTCCTACCTTAAAGGTTTTGATTATTTTTAGAGAGGGGGGGACGTGAGGGAGGGAAACACCCGGGTGTGGCCGCCTCTCCCGCAGCCCCCACCAGGGACCGGGCGCACAACCTGGGCACGGGCCCTGACTGGGAATCGAACCGGGGACCCTTCCGTTCGCAGGCCGGCACCCAGTCCCCCGAGCCCCGCCAGCCAGGGCTCTGCTCCCGTCCTGCTGAGCCGACGGCCTCGACCTGGCCCCTGCGACTCCTCCGCCCACCGTCTGTCCCCTGGGGGTCGTCCTGGAGCCGCCGCCATCCCCGGTCTCCGGCTGCCCCGCTCCTCCTCCCGGCACCGGCACCGGCACCAGCACCGGGGTGAGGCGGCCGCAGAGCCCCGCGGCGTTCCTCACCGTGCTTCTCCTTGCCGGGGGTTTCGTTGGTTGGTTTCTTGTAGTTTAAGTTCTTCTCGTCGTGTACGTGTTTTTTAAAAATACTTGAATCTGGGCACGAGCGTTCTCTGAATGCCAACATCTGCCGCCCAGCTCCCCTTCTGGGCCCGGGTCACACCTCCCCGCTCCTTCCCAGGCCACGAGGCCGAGACCGGGCGCCAGGCACCGCGACACGGCCCAACTGCCCTGGCTGCTTCCCGGGGCCGGGCTGCGCCTCGGTCAGAAGGAGGCCCCTCGTCCAGTCACGTCAGATGCCAGCGGCACGCCCTTTGCAAAGGACAGGCACTCCGGCCTCGGGAGCAGCCGCCACGCTCTGCGGAAGACCAGAACCCGAGGAGGAGGGAACCTGGCACCAGCACCGCGCCCTTGGGTGCTGTTGGCCCTTTCCGTTCCTCCTGGTTGGCGGGGGTGAGGCCGGCGCGGCCGCCCGGCAGCACCGTGGCGGTGACACTCCTCCGAGCTTCCTGCCGCGTCTGCCTGACTGTGCCCACCCGGGCCCCCCACCCCGGCCCCCCGGACCCCAGGGGTGGCCCGGGGCGGTCACTGGGGGCCCGGCCTCCCCGCTCACAGCGGGCGGCGTTTGTTCGGTGGTGCCCGCCCCAGCACAGGGGCGGCACCCGGCCCAGCCGGCGCTGGCTTTCCCCTATGCTGCCCTCCTTTTTTTTTTTTTTTAAGATTTTATTTATTTATTTTTAGAGAGGGAAGGGAGGGAGAGAGAGAGAGAAACATCAATGTGCGGTTGCTGCGGGTTATGGCCTGCAACCCAGGCATGTGCCCTGACTGGGAATCGAACCTTGGACGCTTTGGTTCGCAGCCTGAGCTCAATCCACGCTCTGTGCCACCCTCTTTAACGACTCCTGGGGTTCCTCTCTTTGGTAAAGGTGGGTGTCCAGTCCCCCGCCCCACTGGCCCCTCCCGAGAGCCTGGGCAGCTGTCCCCCGCGAGGCTCGCCCACCTGGCTGCGCCCTGACCCACAGGGAGCACACCCCGCCTGCTGCCGCTGGCGACCGTGGTCGCCGCGGCACAGAGCACGGAACCTGAGCGGCCCGCGGCGCCCTTGCGGTTTCCACGCCGCAGCGCAGGGCGGCACCCGGACGGCCGTCGGAGGACCGCGCCCCCGGCCCCGCGTGACCCTGCCCGCCAGTGTCGCCCCAACCGAGAGCCCACTGAGTGACGTCGGCAAAAAAATAAAATAAATGAAAACGGAAACGTAAACCAGTGACGGAATCCCGCCTTTCACCTATCAGACTGGCGAGGAAGGAGACGCTGGGGGTGGGGGGAGGGGGTAGCACCCGGGGAGGAAGCACCCGGGGAGGGAGCAGGAGGGAGGGGGAGGGGCGGAAGTGCACTCGGAGGCCGGCGGCGCTGGGGCGCAGGGAGACTCCCTCCACCGGGGAGTGGGGCGGGCGGGGCCTGGGGGCGGGACGCGCCCGAGGGGGAGGGGGAGGGGAGGGGAGGGAGGGGAGGGGAGGGGAGGGGAGGGGAGGGGAGGGAGGGAGGGAGGGGAGGGGAGGGAGGGGGAGGGGAGGAGGGTGGCCCGCTCACTCTTCACCTCCAAGCCTCCACACTGTCCGTCCCTCCTGGCGCGGCCGCGAGGAGGAGGAGGCGGGGGCTCCCCGGCCGCAGGGGCTGAGCTCCCTTTGCCCCAGTGGCCGCCGGGCCCGGCCGCGGGGCAGCCGCGACACCCCGCACTCCCAGAAGGCCGCGCGCCCGCCCTCCCGGCCCCGGGCGGGGGCTCCCCGCAGCTGGCTGCCTCCCAGCGCGGCCCAGCCGCTGGGCGCGTGGCTCCGGGCTGGGCTCCGGGACTCGCGGGGCTGCCCTTGTCTGTTGCTCAAGCACGTGTTTCCATGCTCGTGGGGGTGGAAAAAAAAAAAAGGAAAGAAAGAAAGAAAGAAAAGAATGTCCCTCCAGTTTGATTATTTTGGAGGTCAAAAAAAGAATTATCTTAGATATTTGTGATTTTTAGAAAATCCTTACCCAAGGATTTTTAAAAAGATTTTACTTATTTACCTTCAGGGAGAGGGCGAAGGAGGGAGAAAGAGAGGGACAGAGACACTGATCAGCGGCCTCTCGCGTGCGCCCCGACCAGGGACTGAGCAGGCCGGCCACCCAGGCCTGTGTCCCCCCGGAGACCGAACCGGGGGTGACCCCTCGCCTTGCGGAACCACACCCAGCCACCGGGCCAGGGCCGCCTGGGTGACGTTCCGGTCCCTCCTGCGGCTGCCGGTTTCTGGGTTCCATCCCAGCCCACCCCTTGGCGCTCCTGACCTCACAGGGTCTGAGAGGCTGGAGCCCCAGTTGCCTCTCCCAGCCCTGTCCCGGCACACCTGTCCCCTCCCCCACCGTGAGCCCGCCCTGCAGGTAAGGGGTCAAGGGTCAGGGACAATGCTGGGCCCCACCCACACTCTCCCCGCAGCAGCCGACAGAGTGAAGATGGATGAGACCGAGGGACCTATGGGGGCGGGGGCTGGGGTGGCAGGAGCCAGGGGGTGGCGGCCTCCGGGCACAGGGTCCACCGTGCACAGCAGGGGCAGCAGGAGGAGCAGGAAGGGAGGTGCAGCCCCTGCAGCTGGAAACACGAGGCCTCGAGGCCTGGGTGGGGAGCCGCAGCTGCTGCAAAAAACGGGCAGGGGGTGGGGGGAGGTGGCAGGGCGGGTGTGGGCTCCACAGCCTGGGAGAGCCAGGAGGAGGAGCTGTGTCCACCCCGAGGTCCAGGTCCCGGGCACGGCAGGGCCATCTGGACCGAGGGCCCCGGGGAGCACGCTGGGTCCCTGTCCTCAGTGAGGACAGCAGCCCGGCCAGGCGGGCAAAGTGCAGAGCGTGCACACCTGTGAGGGATGGGGGGGCAGGGCAGGGCCAGATGGCTCCAGCCCCACCTCAAAACCAAGACCCAGGTGCCCTGTGCAAAAGGCCGGGCTGCGAAAGCCGCCCGTGGGATCCCTCGCTGAGGCCAGAAGCTGCCACACTGCCCCGCGGCCACTGTCGCCTCCTCTCCCGGGGCCCCCCCACGCCGTGCGGCGCGTCAGTGCGGACCCGCCTGCGTCTTGGCCAGAGCTCTTCCCGACCCACGAGGCTGACGGGAGCCCTGAGCCCAGCAGACCGGTCCCACAGGCAACGCAGTCGGGCGGCTCAAACGCGCGAGGCGCACGGGGAGCCCCGGCCGCCCGTTCTCACCCGCTGGCGCCGAGTCGTCCTGGGAGGCGAGGCCGGAAGGGCTGGACCCCAGGTCGAGCAGCCTCCAGGTGTCCTGCAGGGAGCCGCTGGTGAGCGACGAGGACCCCGGGGTGTGGGGGCCGCGGCCCTGGCGGGGCCCGGGAGCCTGCGGCGGCTCCGGGGACCGGTTCTCCTTCTGAAGGGCCGACTTGCAAGTCGCCGTGGAGATGCTGGGTCGCTTCTACAGAAGCCGGAAAAGACAGGATTACCCTTGAGAACCGCCCTCTCTCCACCCCAGAGGGAATGACGGGGCTCCCCGCACCCCTTCGGGAAGAGGACGGGACAGAGGGACCCCAAGGACCAGGAGAGAGGCCTGGGTCGGCGGCCCGCACCCCGGCCGCCAGGTCCCTGTGGAACATAGCGGGGGGTGGCCCGCACCCCAGGCCCCGGTGTCCGGCCCCGTCCCCGCGCCCGGAGGGACCCTGCCCGGCCCTCTGCAGCCCGCTGCCACCCTCCCGCAGCGCCCAGCCGCCGAGACGATGGCCGCTCAGGGCCACAGCCCTCTCCCGAGACAGCCGGCGCTGCGTCCTCGATGCTGTGTGCACACCCAGTGCTCCGGGGCCTGCGTACCTGCCCCGGCCCTGCTGTGCCCGCCACCGTGCCTCGGGGAGCGCCGTCTCTGCCGACCGCGGGTGCCGCGTGGGGTGGGGTCTCTCTGGGGCGTCCCCCGTCGGCGCTCTCCGAGCCCTGCCACGGGAACGCCCGCAAGGGAGATCAGCGTTCGTGGGTCACCGACGGGTCGCGTCACTGAGCTTCCCCTCGAGGCCGGGTGGGTCACTCCAGGATCGCGGGCACCAGGGACTTCCTCTGTCCGGTCACAAGCCCACAGGGAGGGGCAGACTGGTGCCCACCAGCCAGGACAGACGGAGCCCCCACCCCAGCCGTCTGGCTGCTCCCTGAGCACGAACTGGGAACTCGTGGCAGCAGCTGCCGCCCGCTGCCCGGCTCCCTCTGATTTTGGTTCCCGCTGAGCGAGCCGCAGAGACGACCACAAACCGACGTCTGCAGGACGCCCGACGGGGCAGGGTCGGCGCCCAGACCCGCTCGGGGCGGAGGCAGGGCAGGGCCTCCCCGCCGCGCAGAGCGCAGCCGCCAGGTGCAAACACGACGGACTGTGCAGCAGCACCGGCCCCGGGTTGAAGGAGACACATACACACGCGCTCACACACACGGGCCCGCGTGCTCACGTCAGCACACACACGTGCACACGTTCACACGTGTGCGCACGGGCACACTCGGGACCGGCTGCGAGGCCGAGGACGGCTCAGCAGAGCGGACGGCAGAGACCCAGCACGGGGCGCGCAGCCCCGGGCCGCGTCCACGGGGAGTGCGTGTCCCCGACGGTGGGGGTTCCCGCAGCGACCGTCTGCGTGTAGGGCCCCCGCTGGACACACCGCAGCCTGACGTCCGGGGCTCTCGCTCCCTGGCCTGGGGGTCAGCCGTCTGTCCGTCCCTCTGACCGACACGTGAGGAAGGCAGTGGGGGAGGGAAGGCGACGGGGGAAGGGCAGCAGGAAGTTAGCACCTGGGGTGAGTCCAGGTGACAGGTGTGTGCGCTGTCATGCTTTAAGGAAACTTCTCCAGTTTTGGAAAGAGGGGAGGGAGGGGGGAGGGAGGACGGGGGGGGGGCCGCAGCGAGAGGGAAGCCCGGACCGGGCCAGGTCCCCGGCTAGGGCTGTGCGAGAGGCAACCAACCAGTGTTTCTCTCCCTTTCTCCCTGCCTTCCCCCCTCTCTAAAATAAAGTCTTAAAAAGAAAGAAAACCAGTTAGTCACGGTTGCTGAAGAGACGTTTCTGAGGTGACAGTTACCTGGCGGGCGAGGTGGGGCTGCAGCTGTCTCAGAGGCCGGCTGTGCTCCCAGGGCGTCTCAGGCCCCTCCCCCGGGTTCCAGGCCCCCGGGCCAGGGCAGGGGCGGCCCGGTGTCCCTGGAGACAAGGTGAGGGAGGGGGTTGGCTCTGTGTGCACAGCACTTCTGGACTCTTCCCTCCTGGAGACGACCCGAGTCCCCTGTGTCCCTGCTCCCTTCGCCCCCACGGCGCAGGCCAGGGCGCGCACCAGCAGCCGGCAGAGCCCGCGGACCCGCAGGCCCCGGCCCGGCTCCTCGCCGGGGCAGAGAGGGGCAGAGGGGGGCGAGGAGCCGTGTCCACTCGTGCTCTCCACCCCCCGGGGAGCCCGGCCTGCGGCCCTCAGGCACCCGCGGCCCGGCTGGGACGCAGGCCCGAAGACCAGACCCGAGCCGGGGGGGCACGGGGGGCACAGGGCTCGGCAGGCCCGGGACCAGGACCAGCGCAGGGCGGTCCGCCAGCTGCCCCCCCCAGGCCCAGCCCAGAGGCAGCCCGGGGAGGCCCGGCCGACCCGGGGGTCCACCTGCCTGGCCTGGCCTGGCCTTGCCGGGCGCCTGGGGCTGCGGCACACGGCTTACGGCGGACGGGTCTGGCCCAAAGCCCTCGCACCCACCGGGGACCTCACACTGGCTGCCTCCCCGCGGAGCGGAGGGCCGGAGGCCCTGCTGGCCACTGCGGCGCTCCCCTCCCCAGGGCCCGCCCGCCTGTGCGGTCTCTCCCGGGGGCCCGGGAGCGCAGGGGGCTACACGCTCCCTCTTCAGCGTGTCGCTTGCAGGTGCACACGCAGCCGTGCGCCGGCTGGGTCCTGCTCAGGTGGCAGGTCCCGGCCGGGGTCGAGCAGACACGGGAGATGAGGGTCGGCGTGAGCAGCTGCCCCACTGCACTGTCGGACAGAGGCACCCCCCACGGGACCCGGGGACTCACGGGGACTCACGGGGACTCACGGGGCCCCGGGGCGCCCGCCATCCCCCCGTCTGAGAAGTGCGCGCAGACGGCAGCAACCAGGGCCCCACGGCCCCGGGAAGGACACAGCCCACCCTTATTCCTAGAGCAAGGTCTCTTCCTGTCTGCTTTTTTTTAAGACTTTATCTGTTTGTTTATTTATGTATTTTTAGAGACGAGAAGGGAAGGAGGGAGAGAGACAAACATCCGTGTGTGGTTGCCTTCCATGTGCCCCCACTGGGGACCTGGCCTGCAACCCAGGCCTGTGCCCTGGCTGGGGATCGTGCTCTGACGGGGGGGTGGATCCGCCGACCCCACGTGACGGCCCGTGCGGAGGTCACGGGGAACGGGGGGCCGGCGGCCTGGGGACAGCGACCCAGGCCACTGCGTGTCCCCTGGGGGGCGCCCTGCAGGCTGGACAGAGAGAAAGGGTAGCTCTCTCACCGAAGCGCGGGTGGTCACAACGGCCCAGAGGAGGCGGACAACCCGCGCAGACAATTGAAGAAGAAAAGGCGAAGACAGCTGAACACCCACCGCCGACGCGGGCGCCGGGGCCTCAGGGGGTGGGCCTCTGACACCCGCAGCACCTCGGGGGGCGGGCGGGAGGGGGGGCACATGCGGCTCGGGGCGCCCCCCCACGAAACGCGCTCCCGCCGTGAGGGGCGCCCACACCTGTGGGGCGTTGCCGGGTTTACTCGGACCAAACGGACAGCAGCGCCCGGAAGCAGGGTCTCACGGGCCGGGGAGGGGCGGTTCGCACGGGGATCAGGGAGGGGACGTCAGGAAGGCCGCGGGGATGCGCCCACCTCGAAGCAGCCGCCCGGACGCACGGGGTCAGCGGGCAGGGCTGGCCGAGGCCCTGGACGGGGAGCCTCGCGAGGAGGAAGACCCAGGAGGACCGGAGCCTGGGCTGACGCCGCCGACCCGCCCGGTGAGGGGCCCATGCGGCTGCTCCCCCGGCAGGGCCCCTTCGCACGCTTGGGCCCACAGTCTCTGGGGAAACAGCCCCCCGGTGTCCCTGGGAGCAGGGGCCGTGCCCCCGTGGCTGCCACAGGGGGCTGGGGCCCGGGGGGCGGGGTCAACGGGCTCCTTGCTGAGCCCCCAGCCCGGGCTGCCGGGTCCTGTCGGAGCCGCCCGAGCGCGGGTTCTCCGTCTGAAGGCGTGAAAGCCATCTGCCTCGGTCGTTTCTGCGAGGCCTCCTCGGGTACAAGTCAGATTGTTTTTTTCTCCCGTTGATCTGTCCTGAGTCAACTGAATTATTGCCCCGGCCCGGAATGCCTCAAAAGGTGGGCGCTTCCCAGGAGAGGGTAGCCTCTGGGGCTGGCTGCCGCTGTGTCCCTCAGGCCCCGCCAGGCCCCCGCCCGCCGGCCTCCCGGGCCCGGGGAAGGGAGAGCACCGGGGCTGCCTCCTTCCTCTGTGCGCAGGCCGGAGGGGGGCGGGATCTGAGAGACGTGGGCCCCCGGCTGGCTGCACTGGCGGCGGCCCTGTGACGGCACCCCCGGTTCCCGCTGGCGGCCTTTCCCAGGGACGCCGCCTCTCTGTCTCTGCGGCCACGTGGTCCTGAGAGCTGGCCTTTGTGATGGGGGGGGAACGACAGTTTTCTCGTCCCCACCATCGGGAGGGTGCGCTGCCCGGGGGCACCTGGTGGCCCGAGAAGCAGACCGGGGCTCGCAGCACCTCTGCCCTCAGGGGACCGGCACGAGGGGCCCCGGAGCCCCCGTGCGGGGGCCTGCTGGGGCCGAGGGTCCCGGGCTGGTGGCTGCAGGCCCCCCTGCTCTCGGGGGCTGTGGGCACAGCCTGCGGGGGCTGCTCTCTCCGGGGCACTCGCGTCCACGGTGGAGCCACAAGAGGCTTATCGGCTTGAGTCACTATTGACACAAACCCTTCGAATGGGCAAACCACCGGAACTGAAAAAATATCTTCTTAGAGAAGTCCCAACCCAGAGAATCGTGAGTTTGTTTCGTGAACTTGGCTCGGGGGAACCGTCCTTTGGGGGCCCAGCACTCCGGTCAGACACCACAGGGGATTTGGGCCTCTCGGGCAGGCCCACCCGCGGGGACCACCCTCCCCGAGGCCCCGAGGCCCCGAGGCCCCGGCTCGGTCGTGGGTCAGGCAACTCCACGTCATCACTGCTACAGAGCGCGCCGCCCGGAGAGACGGCCTGGGCCCGGCCTGTGCGGCCTCAACGGGCTGGGTGTCGCCCCACAGACCGATAGGTCACCAGTTTGATTCCCAGTCAGGGCACATACCAGAGGCAACTGATTCATGTTTCTCTCCTTCTCTTTCTTCCTCCTGTCCCCTCTCTCTAAAATTAAATAAAATCTTTTTTTTCTTTTTTTCTTTTTTTTTTAAAGAAATATAGCCCCGGCTGGTGTGGTTCAGTGGATTGAGTGCCGGCCTGAGCACCAAAGGGTGGCCGGCTCGGTTCCCGGTCAGGGCACAGACCAGGGTTGCGGGCCATGGCCCCCAGTGGGGGGCACGTGAGAGGCGGCCACAAACAGATGTTTGTCTCCCTCTTTCTCCCTCCCTTTCCCTCTCTCTAAAATAAGTAAATATTTTTTAAGAAGAGAAGAAACACATTCTGGGGTAACAGCTGACCTTGTCTACCACCTCATCAGGCACCTCATCAGGGGTCCCAGCCCCCAGGCCACAAACTGTAGCGGTCAGTGGCCTGTCACAGGAGCCGGGCCTCAGGGCGGCAGGTGACTGCCGGACAAGCCAGCTCCACCGCCTGAGCTCCCCTCCCGTCCCCGCCCCCGGCCCGGCCCGAGGGAAAACCATCTTCCGTGAAACCAACTCGTGGCGCCAAATAGGTTGGGGACCGCTGTGGCAAGGTCCCCGTGAGCCATCGCCCGGGAGGTGGCGAAAAGCAAACAAGCTGAGGAGATGGACTCCAGATGAGTGCCGGCTCTGTTGCAAGGACGCGGCCGTGTTTGCTTAAGTGGCCGCAGTCTCTTGGGCAACGCGTGCCCTCAGGGCCGCGCTTCCAGCGGGAGTGCGTGGCCGGTGCGTGCTGCCGGCCTGCGCTGCCGGCCCGCGACCTTTCCAACGAGGGCAGCGAGCGACGGCTCAGCCCGGCGGACCTGCCGGCCCCTGCTCTCGGCCTCCTGGTGCCGAGGAGCCGGAGAGTTCCGGCGGGTTCCGGTGAGGCAGGTTTCCAGAAGCCACGAGAGGCACCCGGGCGCCCGTCAGCTCGCGGCCGCCTTGCTCCTGAGGGCGCCGGGCACTGGGGTCTCGGAGGGCGGGACGACGGCCGCAGCTGCAGCGGCAGGGGAAGCCCCTCCCTGCGCCAGGGAGGTGGAGTGTGCGTTCCAGCACAAAGGGTCCGAGGCGTGGAGACGCGTTTGCGAGGGAGAAGGGGTGCGTCCGGAGGCCCGGTGCGAGGAGGGGCAGAGGACAGAGTGTGAACGTGGAACCGGAAACGCGCAGACCGCCTGCGGGGAGTCAGTCTTTGGGAAGGGGTTTTACGCACGGTCAAGCTGAGACGAAAACATGCTGATTTCAAACTGGGTTTTAATGCCAAAAGTTCACTGGTTTTCTCTTCCTGTCACAAGGGCAAAGTGCTGCCCTGGCTGGTGTGGCTCAGTGCATTGAGCGAGGGCTGCGAATCAAGGAGTCACTGGTTCGATTCCCAGTCAGGGCACAGGCCTGGGTTGTGGGCCAGGTCCCCAGTAGGGGGCGCACGAGAGGCAACCACACAATGATGTTTCTCTCCCTCTTTCTTCCTCTGTCCCCCACCTCTCTAAAAGTGAATAAACAAAGTCTTCAAAAAAAGAAAGGACAAAGTTTTCTTGAACTTCTGGTTTGCTTTGGATAATAGACTGGGAGCGTCACTCACTTTTTAAGCGATCAACTCGGAAAGCTTCGTGTCCTATCAGAACGCTGCTCGGTGCGGGACCCGCCTGCTCCCACGTCTGCCTGGGGCTCTGCCTGGGGCTCTGCCCGGGGCTCTGCCACAGTGCCTGAGCGGCGGCTGGGGGCCAGCTCACGGCTCCCCTCCGCCTGTCTGGCCAGGCGGTTTCACGAACTTCCCCGACACCAAACACTACATCCCCTCTTTAGCTTGAGGAAGGTTTGAGGAAGCCCTGACGTTTCCTGGAAGGCCCTGGAACATTTCGGAGGACTGTCCTCTCTCTTTGCAGAAGGGAGGCCGGGCCGCGGGGCGCTGGCGTGCAGGGCAGGTGTCCGCCAACGGGCAGCAGCGCCAGGTGGCCCGCGCGCGCGCCAGCGCCCAGGGAGTGCGCGGGGCCCCAGGAAGTCCGCCGTGCCCTGGCACGGGCTCCGCGCCACGAGTGCAGCCGTCACCTGGACAAGCTGAGTCACAGAAGGAAGGAAACTGCCCGTCGACGACACCGTGACGAACTGTCCCCGGGCCCGGAAGCGGGTCCAACCCTCTGCCATCGACGGTTCCCGCTTCCCTCGGACTGCTTCTCAGAACGCGGCGCTGGGGGCCGGCAGGGGAGCGCTCCCCGACCCCTCCGCGGTCGCCAGGGCGCTCTGCCTCGGCAGGACCCCGAGTGGCCGGCGTTCAGGCCACGGACAGGAGCGAGGGGACGGCCTCAGGGTCTCGTCCACAAAGCCCTGCACATTGCAGTCCCCACGGGAACTCGAAAACAACGGACGGGGGAAGCCACCGGAGACCTGGGGACCCGGGTTGGGCTGCAGCAGGAGAGGCGGAGCGGGGCGGGGCGGGGCGAGCCCCTCCCCCCAGTCCGAGACCAGGCTGCGCCTGCGCAGAAGTGTGTGCACGGATAGGGCGGCGCCGGTCTCGTGCCGCGCACGCTTGGGACGCGGGTGCATCCTCTGTTTTGCTCGCCTGCCCCCAAGGACATCTTTTCGTTGCTTTCTGAGAGACATGGATCGGCTGCCTTCTTGCAGCCCCGTGACCTTCCCATCTAGGAGAGGGCGCTCCAACCTACCCAGCCACCAGCCAGGGCCGAGCCGCATCTTTTTTAAGAGTGAGGCCGCCCTGGGCGGTGGGGGCCAGCGTCGAACCCTGTCTGGGGAAGCGAAAGGTCGCCGGTTCGGTTCCCAGTCAGGGCACGTGCCTGGGTTGCAGGCCAGGTCCCCGGTAGGGGACACACAAGAGGCAGCCACACACTGATGTTTCTCCCCCTCTCTCCCTCCCTCCCCTTCTCTCTAAAAACAAACAAACAAAAACAAACAAATGCATAAAGTCTTGTTGGCAGAGCAATACCAGAGTGCCCCGGCCTTTCCTCGGAAGCAGCGCCCGCGGAGACAGGGCTGCAGGAGGGCGGCACAGCCCCCGTCCCGGCCGGCCGCCCGCGAGCAGCGGGGCCCAGGCAGCTGCGGTGCGGGGGTCGTGCGGCCTGGACCCTGCGGCCAGCGCCACAGAGCCGCAGTGTTCCTCACAACGGCGGCCAGTGAGCGGGCTCCCAAGGTCCCTCCGGATGCGGGACCCCACTCCCCTCGTCTCTGGACCCACCTCCGCCCACGTCCACGGGGGCACCGCCGTTCCCCCACCGGGCCCCCCGTCCCCCAGGACGGAGGGCTCACCTGCGGGCCGGCCCAGCCTGGCGCGGAGCCGGTTGCCCAGCTCCAGCAGCTGCTCCTTCTCCCGCTGCAGGCGGAGGGCCGCCCGGGCCGCCTCCCTCAGTTTCCGCTGGAGCTGCGGCACCGACGGGGCCTGTGGGGGCGGTGCTCCGGGGTCCTCGGTCCCCGAGGGTCCCCCAGCGGCCAGGACCTGTGAAGGAAACCCACAGGGGTGGGGGAGGGGACGGGGGTGGTGGCGTCCCGGGCCAGCCCCGGGCGACAGCCCCTGCACCCGGGTGCGCCTGTCCCAGGCGGGCGCCCCGTCCCTCGGCACCCCCGCCCTCCCCCACTGAGGGCCTTCTCAGGGAGCACAGTGAGGAGCCAGCCAGCACCCTCGCCCGGCCTCCCCCAGCATCCCTTGGACCCATGCGGGCCGGGCCTGGGACAGGACCCTGGGGGGCCATGGCCCAGCAGAGGCTGGAAGGGACCTGGGGGGCTGTGGGCCCACCCCTCTCTGCAGTCCCCCTCCCACCCTGCGCTCTGCCCGTGGCCGAGCTCCTGGGCCCCTCGGCCCAGGCACTGTGCCCGCCTGCCCTCTGACTCCCCTGGGGTGGCGGGTGGGCCCAGGCTCCCCACCACCCTGACCGAGGGCCAGGGGAAGCAGAGGCCACGGGGGAGCATCGGGGACAACACTCGGGGTCTGAGCCCCTCCGGTCCCGAGCCCCGGACCCCCCACGGCTCCTCAGGGACAGCAGCCCCACGGGAGGCCCTGGGCGGGAGGCAGGGCCTGGAGGACAAGGGAGGGGAGAGGGGCAGCTTCTGTGCCGGGCAGGGGCCGGGAGGGGCCGGAGGGGCCCGGCCCCGAGGGAAGCAGGTGGCCTACTTAGCTGCCGACACCTGAGAATACCACGGTGTGCCTGTCCGGGCCACTGCCCTGACGCAGGCACAGGGGACTGGCTCTGCGTCCCCGGCGCAGGCCAGCACGCCCTGTCCTGACCCCTCTCCCCGAGGGCCTCTGTGGGCCTGGCAGGCACCCGCCCTCGAGGCACCCCTCTCCAGGCGGCCCCGGCGCTGCCGCCAACGCCCTGGTGCTGGCAGGTGCCACGGGCCTCAGTGGCCCGGAGGCTGCCAGGATCCCCAGTGTCCCTGGGCCCCGGGCCGGCAGAGGGGTCGGGGCAGGGGCAGGCTTGAGGCCTGAGCCCAGAGCAGGCTTGTGTGTAGGGCCCCACGTGCCCCCAAGGCTGGCCCGGCCGGGGCGGCCGGGCTGGAGGTGAGAGCCTGGCCAACGTCCACGCCCGAGGCCTGGCTGCCCTGGAACACGCTGTGAGACTCTGTGTTTTCTCACGCAAGGAGAGAGTGGCCCTGAGGGCGGCTTTCGCAACCCCAGGGCCCTCGGGCTCTAGAGGAGACGTCCCTCCAATGTCCCCCGGGCACCAGCAATGACGCGGCAGTACTGCCGGGCCTCCGATCCGAGCGCCGGGGTCCCCGTCTCGGCGGCCCCGCGGCAAGGGGGCTGGGTTCTGGGGCGGGGGGGTGATTTTGCACTGGGGGCACTCGGACAGGGGTCCCCGACGGTGGGAGCTCCCTCACGGGCGCCGGGGCCCGCGCTGCTGCCCTGCTTGCCGCGCCGGCGCGGGGCCAGACCTGCCCCGTGAAGAGGAAGGAGAATGCCGGAGCGGGGCGGGGGGGGTGCAGCTTGACCTGTTGGGGTATCAGAGTGGCCTCCGAGCCGGCGAGGGGTTGGGGGGGCAGCGTGTGGCCGCCCCAGGGGGCTGGGGCCTGGGCCGGCACAGGCACCAGCTCAGACGAGGGCCACAGAGGGCACGGCGACGGGGCGGGCAGCTCTCGGCGGGTCACGCCTGCATCAAACCCCTGAGCAGGTGCCCGGCTTCCCGCAGAGCCAGCCGGGGACGGGCGGAGGACACTGCCCCCCAGTGGACCCGCGTGTCCCTGCCGGGGCTGTTGCTTGCAGGGAGGAGGTTGCAGGAAGGAGGGCGGAGCGGCCGGCAGGCTGGGCAGAGGGTGAAGGCGGGGACACCGTCGGTCAGCAGGTCACCCACCCACTCCTGTCCCCCGAATGTCCCCATGCCGGAACCCGCCACTCGCCCTGGATCCTCCTGAGAGCGCGGGAGACTCGGAGCCCTGTGTCCGGGCACGTGTCACACGGCTCCCGGTGCCCTGTCCCCTCTCACGACGTCCCGGCCCCAGACACGCGGCCGGGTGGCCTGGGTGGTCGCTGAGAGGAGCAGGGGAGGGGAGGCAGCCCCTGGGTCTCCTGTGCCGGGGGTTTCTCGCCCAGGAACGGCCTTCCCCAGGGTCACGAGAGGCTCAGACTTGGGGCAGCACGAGACCCCGACCACCGGGCAGAACTAGGGTCCCGGCCCCTCGGCCCCGGGGCATGTGCTGGAGTCCAAGCCCTGCTCTCCGGCGCGACTCCTCTCCCTCCACTCCGGACGAGTGAGGTCGAGGTCGGCGAGCAGCCAGGGCCCGAGGGCTCCGCCTGCTGTCAGCGCCGGGGACACGCAGCGGACACGGGCGGCTGGGACAGCACCTGCGGGGCCAGGACTCGCCCCGGGGGGCTGGCACCGCAGCTCCCCACCCACTGCCCGCCCCCCGTCCTCGAGTGCCCTGGGCAGGCAGCGCCGCAGACCAAAGCTCTTCCCTGAGCCCGGCCCCCGTGGCCCCGGCGGTGTGTCCTAGCGCCTGCCCGTCAGTCCCTCAGTCCCTCTCTCCAAGCCTGGCCCTGGGGCGAGCGCAGGGGGGCCGCGTGAGGGCCGGGGGCCGTGGTGTCTTCAGCTTCTGTGCCTGTTGGAGGACTTCCAGCACCCGCCAGGTGGCATTTCACCATCCCTGACTCGCTTCCCTGGCAAGCAGGTCACCAGAGGTCACCTCGGGACTGCCAGAGGTCTCAGGAGGCACGTCACAAGGTGTCCTCAGTGGAGGAAAGGTGGCCTGGCCTGGCTGGACCGCCGGGGGCAGCGGGCTCTGCAGCTGGGACCCACGGGCTGGAAGGGCAGCGGGGCCGGCCGGAGCCAGGGTGGGGGCCCTGCTTCAGCCACCGAGAAGCTTACGGGAGCCACAGGGCCCGCTGGAAGGAGACCCCGAGTCAGCACACGGCTTCAAGGCCCCACAGGGCCTCCGGGAGGACAGAGCCCGGCCCTGGCACAGGTGCAGGAGCCCTGAGCCTGGCTCCCGACCCGAGGGGCAGGTCGAGAAGGCCGGGAGGAGCAGGCCGGCCCCGGCCCTGGGGCAGCACACCCGCAGAGAGGGAGAGCGGGCGAGAGAGGCGGCGGGGAAGGGGGAGGGAGACGGCAGGGGGCTGCGGGGGGCAGCCCCAGGCCGGGCTCTGCCGGCCACTGCGAGGGCGGCCCCCAGGGCGCCCCTGCAGCAGGACCCAGGACGGCCAGCAGCTGGGGTGCATCCGAGGCCGGTGCAGGGCACCCACCTGTCTCCCGAGGGCCACACAGCGGCTCGGTTCCGCCATCCCCAGGTGCCTCTGCAGCTCAGCCACCTGCCTCTGCAGCTCCAGCGCCTCCAGCTGCACCTGGTCTGCCGCGTGGGGGAGGGCGCACTGGGTGGCGCCCACCTCCCGGGGCTCCTGCAGGGCCTGGGGGCCGTGGGAGGCAGCGTTAGGGAGGAGGCGGCCACCGTGGACGGGGCTGGGGGACAGAGCAGCAGGGGGCAGTGGTGGAAAGTTCCGGAAAATCAGAAGGGACACACGGCTCTCAGGGTCTCCTCTCACTTTGTTTGAGGTGCTCAACCCCGGAGAACAGCACCACTGCCCTCCAGCCCACCTGGACTGGACCCAGGGGACCCGCCTCCGTCTGCACGGGCAGGGGGGCACCTGGGGTAGAGCCTTCTGGGAGGCATCCGGACGGAGCGGGGACTGAAGCCCCCAGTGGAGCCCGGGGGGTGCGGGAAAGTGTCTCGGGAACACAGGCCCGGGGAGGACATCTTCGGGCACGGGACGGGGGGCTCCGCTCTGAAAGGGGGTGGGGGGCTGGGAGCAGGCCTGGGAGGAAGGCTGGGGACGGCAGGCGGCGGTGTGGGCGGGGCCCGGGTGGCCTCCCTGCCCTGCCCCACGCCTGCCGCCCTCCCGCCGTCCGGAGGGACACGGACAGGCCCCTGGGAAGACCCCTGACCCTCTCCCCGTCGCGCCCTCGGCAGGGTCAGACACAGGGACCCTGACGTGGAGCCCTCACGTCTGCCACGCACACACTAGAGAACCTGATGGCTGGGGGACACTGCTAATTAAAAAATAAACCCACCCTGGCTGGTGCGGCTCAGCAGGCTGAGTGCCGGCCTGCAAACCGAAGGGTCGGTGGTTCGATCCCCAGTCAGGGCACATGCCTGGGTTGTGGGCTGGGTCCCCAGCAGGGGGCGCGGGAGAGGCAACCACACGTTGATGTTTCTCTGCCTCTCTTTCTCCCTCCCTTCCCTCTCTCTAAAATAAATAAAACCTTAAAAAAATAAATAGATAAGAAGTAAACAAAACCACTTCGAGGTGGAGGGGGTCCCTCTCCCCGGAAGACCGAGCAGCCTGTGAGCTCCAGGACAAAACCGCGGTCCCGCAGGCAGCGCCCGTCCCCGGGCGGTCGTGGGCGTGCGCCGGGCACCTGGGACGGCGCCTGGGAAGCGCGGCAGCTGTGAGGCCCCACGTGTGAGCCCCTCCCTGCTGTGGTGGGCGTGGGCTCGAGTGCCCTCCCGACTGTTCGTGGGGCCACGGGCACTGCCTCCTGGGAGGGACGCGGGCGCGGAGACGCCATGCGGCACGAAGGGCTTGGCACAGTGTTCACTTGGCAGCCACCCTCCCGGGGACGCCCCCCCCCCGTCAGAGACCCGCACAGCCTGCGGGGGCCGTACCTTCTGCCGCAGCCGGGCCACCAGCAGGTTCAGCAGACGCGTCCTGTCGCCCAGCCGCCTGAGCGCCAGCCCCACGGCGACGCTGTCGGGGGGCGCAGCGTCCCCTGTGCGGAGAGAGACCCGTCAGGCCCGATCCCTACGCCGTAGGGCCCGAGTCATCCGGGGCAGGTGTGTGCTTCTCTGCCTCTGCCTCCCCCGAGGACGCCCCGTCACCGCTGGCCCCTGACGCGACCACGGGCGGGGGGGGCCCCGCGGGGACGGAGCGTGTTTGGGGTGGAGTCTTCTCCCCCTCGTGCACAGGAAGCAGGGCCCCTGCAGGAAGACACCCACCCCCGAGCCTCTTCGTCCGAGCGGGGTTCAGACAGACGCCGCGCGGCCACGGGCCCAGGAAGCACAGGGGGCGTCGGACACTGTCCTCAACTGTGTCCTGCAGACCCTGGGGACGGAGCTCCGCAAACACAGCCGCCCCCCAGAGACGCCCACAGCCAGAGGCTTGGTCCACGAGGGAGGGAGGCTGGCCACCCCGGGCGCCGACACCCACTCAGGGGAAAGGGGGAGAGGGGCCGCCCGCAGAGCAGACACGCGGACAAAGCCGCCGCGAGAGGCGGGAGGCAGAGCGAGCGTGCGGCCGGAGGCCCCCAGACCCACGCTGGTCCCCGGAAAGGCGTTCCTCACGGCGTCGGCTGAGGTTGGGGAGCCCCACGCCCAGCGCCCCCCACCCCCACCCCCACCCCCACCCCGCAGCCGGGCGCGGCCTCAGGCAGAAACGAGCACAGTGCAGGCGAACACGCACGCTGCCCGAGAGATGCCACCTCAGGCCCAACGGGGGGCGGTCGCAAAGGTCGACACACATGCACTGACCAGGAGCCGGCGGCCTGGCCCACGGCACGGAGGACGGGGGGACGGGCGGGCGCCCCAGACGGGAGGCTCACCGGAGGCCTCGGCTGCGGGAGGGAGGCCGGGCGGGCTGTGGTCGCTCTGGGGCGAGGGCGCCTTCGGAGGCTCCGGCACATCTCCCAGCTGTTCTTCCAGCGTGTCGAACTTGCACTTGAGGTTTCGTATTTCTGCTTCGAGGGCCAGAACATAATCTGCCAAATAAGATGGGCAACCCGGTAGGCACGTGCGTGCAGGGGCGGAGGGACGGAGGGACGGAGGGACGGATGTCCTGCCGTCAGCAGGGCTCCAGGGGCTGGGGCTGCTCCCCTCGCTGCCCCATCTGCCACCCCGAGTCCCGGTGCCGGTGGGCCACGCCCCCCTGGGCCGCTGGAGTGCCGCGTCTGGGCGCCAGCCCGCCCGGCTCAGCCGGGGCTCAGCCCTCAGGAGAGGGCATGCCTCCCGCACCCCCGCGAGCTTCGGTCACAGACGCAGCGGTGGAGCCTTCAGCGCAACTGCCTCCGCAGCGGGACCCCTTCTGCCCCTGCGGGCGGGGGGCCGGCCGCGCCCCGCCGGGCACCCTCCCCAGGCCAGGCCTGCCGTCCACCAGGGGTGGGCCAGCCCAGCCCGGCCCGAGTCTCACTCTGGCTTTTAAGTGTGTCGGGCACCCTTCACTTCCCCTTGCACTTTCCACCCACGTGTGAAACTGCGCCCCGCCCCCGGGCCCCAGCCCTGGGGGACGGCAGCCATCCGACTCCAACGCGGTTTGTGACTGGGGTGCTTGGTCCCGAGCTCTGGAGAAACCTGAGGGGCCCAGGGGAGCACCGTCCCGGCCCCTCGCTCACCAGGGGCGGCGGCCTGTGCATCAGGCTGCGCGACTGGCTGTGCGCCCGGCTGCGTGTCCGGCTGTGTGCATCCGACTGCAGGTCCGGCTGCGGTGCCGGGCCCGGGGCTCTGCCCCCAGCCGGCTGGGCGGGGGGCAGCACCTGCTGGCTCAGAGCCTCCATCTCGGTCCTCATGCGGGCGACGGCGTCCCGCAGGCTCGCGTTCTGCTGCTGCAGCTGCTGGATCTGCCCCGATGGGAAGCCTGGGGCGCCGGCTTCTTCCCCCCGGCGCCCTAGGAGCACCTGCCGGACACGCGCCAAAGACAAAGGTCAAGGCCGGGAGATGGCCTCGGCCGCGCCGCCCTCTGGGCCCCGCTCCCCCCCCCCCCGCCCCTCCTCGGTCCTCGAGTCGCCCGGCGCAGGGGTCCCGCCTGCGCTGACGGAGGCACAGACGACCTTTCTTCTCTGTGTCACCAGGTGGTGACACTTTTCAGACGTAACTTCTACTGAGAAACTTGGGGACTCTCCTTTTCAGTGAACAGGCCCTCAGTCTCCTGCCAGGTGCCTGCGACAGCGACGCAGACGGGGACCGGTGCCGGCGAGGACGTGGAGAGAGGGAGCCGCGAGCACCGGCGCTCCGGCCGGGCGGCACCGCCCCAGGGCCGCGCCCACGGGAGCCGCCGTGTCTGTGTGGAAGCGTGCTGGCGCGTGCCCCCTGAGACACCGGCGACGGCCGCGGTGTGGAGACACGCGGACGGACAGAGTCCGGCGAGAGGGCAGGCGCTGCCCGGGGAGGGGCTGGGGGCAGGGCGCTGGGCGCCGCCGGGGGGGCGGGGGCGGCAGTGTCCCCGCTGCACAGAGGCTCAGGGCTCGGGGAGAACCCGGAGCAGGAGAGGAGCAGAGACGGGAGACCTCTGAAAGGGACCACACGGCCCGCGCGGAGGAGATCCAACCAGACAGACCCTCTGAACACAAGGCCGACCAGACGGGAGGGTCGGAGAGCAGATCGGACGCGGCCGGAGAGAAGCTGGCGGACGCAGACAGGCAGCGGGTGCTCACCCCTGAGCACGCGGCGGGGGTAGGGGGGTGGGGGGACGACCAGCGGCCAGGAGAGACGTGGGGGGAGGGCGGGGAGGTGGGGGCACTCACCTGGAGCTCCTGCTCAGGGAGGAGCCCGTGGGTCCTCAGGGCCTGCAGGGCCTGGTCTCTCTCGAGGGTCACGGCCTGCAGCACCGCCTCCTGCTCCCGCAGCTTACGCTCCGCCTCCTGGAGCTTGGCAGCAGCCTGAGGGGGGTGGGGCGCGCTCACCTCAGGGGGGGCGGGGGGGGGCAGGACTCCCTCTGGCGATGCAGGGTGACCGCGCCCCAGCACTCCGGGCAGGCGCTGGGGCTCCAGGTGTGGCCCCTCCCTCATCCCCCCTCTCCACGGCTGCCCGGACCTGCTGCACAGGGACCTGGACACTGTCCCGACCGGCCAGTCGGAGACACAGCTAAGGACACACCGTGAGAGGCTTGTGGCCGGGCAGGGGCATGCGGGTCAGGACAGCGGGGGCCGTCTCAGGTGGAAGCGCTTCGCGAGGATCGCGTTTCCACATCAAAGGGTAAGGGGCCCAGACCCAGCCTCCACGGAGCGCGCGGCCCACGGCGGGGCTGGGGGCGCTCACCTGCTCCCGGGCCGAGGTCAGCCCCTGGATCAGCTCCTCGGACTGGCGGTAGTGGTCCCTCTCCAGGCCAGCACAGCGCCGCTGCCAGTCCAGGCCCAGCTGCGCCTTGTCGCGTTCCAGGCTCTGCTCCCTCTCCGCGGCCAGGGCCAGCTGCCGCTGGTACCTGCGGGCGTCAGAGTCACTGGTGTCGCCTGTCCTCTGGGCCTGCTGGGCGGCATGCCGGGGAGATGGCCGCCCAGGGCTGCGGCCACCCCCTCCCGCCTGCGCCGGGCCAGCCTGCCCCCATGCGTGCGGACACCGGCCTGCTCGTGGCTGGCGGCTGAGGGGTTTCTGCGTTGGGACGTGGAGGAGACACACACCTCGGACAGGAATGGGCACGGCGGCCAGCCACAGGCCAGGGGCCTCCCAGCACCGAGAACACCGAGCCTGGGAAAGACACGGCCGGACTCAAGCGAGAGGAGAGCCAGCGCGCAGGAGGAAGGGGGCGGGGCCTCAGCTGGGACCAAACCCCAGAGCTCGGGAATGCACCGCCACCGGAGGAGCGCCGTGGACGCAGCCTGGGTGCAGCCGGGAGCCAGAGAGTCGGAAGAGAGAGCCCCCTGGAGCGGAGGACACACCCGCCCAGCAGGGGGCTGGAGAGACCGGAGCGGAGGGAACAAGCCAGCGAGGAGATGCAGCAGGAAGCGAGCTCCGGGAGAGACCCGTGCCCGGGTGGGATCACCCCCAGGTGCCGGGCCGAGGGCTGGAGGGGCTGTGCAGACACCGGCCCGCACGCAGCGCAGCCTCCCGCCGAGTGAGGGCCGGGCAGGGCACGGGGAGGATAGCCACTCCAGGGGCTGGCGGTGTGGAGTGACCCCGCAGCCTGCCCACCAGCCTGCAGGAAGTCGGCGAGGGCAGCCGGCAGGGCCAGCCTCCTGGGGCCCCGAGGGGTGACCCGGCCAAGCCGTTCCAGGAGCCCGGGAGACCAGTGGGCGCAGACAAATGACGCCCAGTCCGCAGCTGTGGTCCCAGAGCAGCAGCGAGGTCACACGGACGGGCTGAGACCCAGAGGGGCCACCGGCAGCCCCTCAAGGAGGCAAAGATGCAGCCGCAGAGGCCCGCAGCTCAGCAGCGGCCAGAGACAGTGATGCCGGAATCGGCCGAAAGCACGCTTCAGGGTCGCCGGAGGCAGCCGTGCGCATGGTGAGGGGAGGACCAACAGCGAAAGGCCTGAAGCGGAAACTCGAGGCCTGAGCGGCACGTCAGACGCTGCGGGGACGTCACTGCGCAGACACACGGGGACACATGCACAGACGGCCCGGGACTCACACCCGCTCACACCCTGCCCGCCGCGTGACAGCCAGGTCGCTGCAGACCAGCCGCCGGTCGGGAGGACAGCTGGACATGGATGCGCTCTCCGCCCAGATCAGCCCTGGGCGAGAAATGGACAACTAAACGGTGTCTGGAAACCTCAGAACCACGGGGAGTTCGGCCACATGCCTCCTGGGTCCACAGTGACCCATGGGCCGGAGGAGAAATCACAAGGAAATTAGGGAACATCAAAACGTGTGGGCTGCAACTGAGCAGCGACTGAAAGCGAGTTTCTAGCGTTAGACGCTTGTGTTTCTTTGGAAAGGGGGATGGTCTGAAGCCGGTCACCCGAGACCCTGCCCCCGGGCCCTCCAACGGCCTCGAGGGAAACCCGAAGGAGACGCCCAGAAAGTGCCGCGGACACGCACAGGCACCCACAAAGCTGACGCCGGAAAGACAGCCCAGGAAACCCCACTTCTGTCTCTGCCCTTGCCCCCTTCCCAGCGGGCTGCGAACCAGGGGCTCTGGGCCCAGGTCAGCGCCCAGCGCCCAGGGGACAATCACCTGCCGATGTCCTGCTGGCACCGGGCCAGCTGCGCCTGGAGCTCCGCCTCCTCCTGCTGCAGCGACTGGACCCGCAGGTCTCTGGAGGTCATCTCCTTGGACAGCTGGGCGACCTGGGCGTCCCAGTCAGACCTCAGCGTGGACGCCTCCTCCCGGAGTCTGGGCGGGAAGGCAGCGGTGAGTGTGCGCCGATTCTCCCGTGCAAGGCCTCGCGCACGCGCCCAGCACAGACACCGACCAGGGCGCAGCCCTGGGGGGCGGGCACAGCAGGCCAGTGTCGCTCCCGCCCTCCTGTGTCTGCACGAGCAGCAGCAGCAGACGGCCCTTCCCAGGGGCCTGGGGCCACAGGCCCAGCCGCTGCCACAGGACGAGCCGGCCCTGCCAGGCCAGCGGGGGACGATGAGCCCCGGGTGCTCGGGCGCTCGAGGGCCCGCCCGCTCGCCTGGCCCCGCCCCTCGACGTGGAGGCGTTCGGCGCGTGTTTTCAAACTGAACAGTAAACGAGGGTCTAAACAGCCCGTTGGTTCCCTGGTGAAATCTCCAGAAATTGGGACTCTTCCCCGAGAGGAAGAGCTTCAGCAACGTTCACGCCGGGCCCATGGGGACCCGGCACGGCGCCCGCGGGCTGCACGGGCTCCCGAGCACCGCGGCCGCGCCGGCTGCCTCCCGGGCGCGGCTGACGCCCTCCCCGTCAGTGCGCATGCGCCTCCCACGTGGCGCGGCCGCGCTCACCTGGTGATGGCGGCGTCCTTCTCCCGCAGCGCGTCCGCCTGCCTCCACTCCGCCCGGCGGGCCTGCAGCTCCAGCGCCTCGCACTGGGCCTGCAGCTCGAGGACCCGCGCCTCCAGCGCCCGCAGCTGCTCCGCGTGGGCGTCCTTCACCGACGCCAGCACCGCGTCCCTTTCCCGGGCGGTGCGGTCCAGCTCCTCGTGCCTGGAAGACAGCGGGGCCGCAGGGCTCACGCAGGGCCTGCTGCACTGCACGCCCAGTTGTGCGGGGTGGGGGCTGTGCGGGCGTCGCCGTGGGGTGGGATACCGCTCCTTTGCCCACCACCGCCGCAGAGCTGGGGCTGAGCAGCTGGAGGCACCAGCCGCAGGCCGGCCCCCGGGGCCAGCAGCCCTGCAGCAGGGAGAGGTGAGGCAGACCCTTCCGTCCAGCGCACTGGCGACGACCCCGGCAGCATTGCCGCGACCCCTGACAGCAAAGTGCTGTGGGCGCCCCTGGAGTCCCCCCCACTCGGGCCCAGCTCCGCTCCCGGGGGAGGCCCGCCCTGCACGGCCCAGGGCACGCGCTGAGGGACTCGGCCACCAGGAGACGTCCAGCTGGAGCACACACCAGGCTGCCGTGCGTGCCGCCGCGCCTGGCAGGTGACGCTCACGACCTGTGTTTTATTTCATCCCGACAGAAGCGAAAAGCCCTGAAAACCGCGCTTCCCGTGGCTCCTCTCGGGTCCGCCGGCGCCGTTCCAGGGTCAGTGTCCAGGACGCGCCGGAGCCCAGTGCCCTGTGCCCCCTCACCCGCCCACCCCTGCCTCCTCCGGCACCGAGTCCTGGGAAAGTCACGCCCACAGGGCGGGAGGGACGGACAGAGGTTTTCTGGGCTGCACGGCAGGCCCACTGTCCGTCTGCAAAGGCGAACACCAGGCCTCCGGCCGAGGACACGCACATGCGTGTCACCCGAGCTGCAGCTCAGGGGCCGTCCCAGGCGTGGCACCGGGCTGGCGGTGCTCACGGGCGGGGAGTTGGTGGTCCGGCACCTGCGCACTGAACTCGCCTCCTCCGAGGTTGTGGGCACTCGTCACCCGAGGCGTGCCCGACAGCCCGCCGCAAACGCACACGGGGGCATCTGAGCTGCCCCAGCCCCAGGCCCTGCAGGAGGTGGCTCCCAGGGTGTGAACCCCTGTCCGGCCCGAGTCCTCGGGTCAGAGGGTCCGGGGAACTGAGGGCCGAGAGGAAACAGAAGCGTGTACTGTGCAGCCACTGTGCCGTGCGAGTGCACTGTGCCTCGGCGTGGGGCGTCCTCCCCTCTCCGCGCCCCGGGGTCCCGGTCCCGCTAAGGAGGCGGGCACCCGCAACAGTCATGGGCACGTCTTCCCGGAGCCTTCCGCCTGAACGCGGGAAGCTGCCAGGGTGGATGAGGCTGCCCACTGGGGGCAGCCCCTGTGCCAGCAGGCACTGCCCGGCCTCCAGCCTCTGGGCTGCAGGCGCTTCTGCAGCGGCCGGGCCAGCAGACGGCCCAGCAGACGTCCCAACGTCACTCTCGGGGGCGGCCAGCAGGGGGCTCAGCGCGTGACCTGGGAGGCGCTCGGCCCACGTGGAGCTGCCGGTGCCCAGCAGGTCCTGGTGGGGGCTCGGGGGCCTCGGACGGGGGGCCCTTGTCCCGGCAGCAGAGCCGCTCGGTCCTGAGTGCACGTGACAGTCCGTCAACGACACTGGCTTTGCCGCTCGTGCTGCTGTTCGGTCGAGTCCACGCTCATAATCCTCACAACGTCTGAACGTGGAACCGGTGGCCGCCGCGAGCTCCACTTCCCCGCGTGCGGGCTCACAGGCGCCCTCTGCAGGGCAGCGCACTCTGTCCAGGCAGCACTGCGGAGGGCGGGGTGGGGCCGCGGGAGGGGCCCCAGAGGGAGAGGAGCGGCCCTGGGCGGCCAGCACTCTGACTGCAGGCAGCGGTGGGCGTGGTGTTGCCGTGGCGTTTCGGCACACACGCACACACTGGCGTCACTGAGCCGTCGTAGCTCCCGATGGCAGTATTCGCCGCGTGCTGGAAATCGCGTTCACTGTCACGTTTCAGTTTACAGCGTAGGAGGTTCTGGATGTAGCCTTGAACACAGACTGGGAGGGACGGTGCTTCTGCAGCCTCTCGGGCCAAGGCCCCGGGCGGACTGCGTCCCAGCACTGCCAGCAGGGCCGGGCCGTGGAGGCCAAGGGCCCGTGTGCCCCGTCCATGCCATCGGCACCGGGAGCCAGAGGTACTCACTTCCTCCTGAACGTCTCCTCCTCCTTCTCCCGGGTCAGCTGCGCGGACTGAAGTCTGTCCTCCAGCTCCTTTATCCTGAAAACCACCAGGTGTTGGCGCAGAGCCGGCCTGCGACCAGGGCCCGCACCCGCTCCAGACAGGGTCCCCACGGGCGGCGGGGCGCCCCCCCAGAGAGGACGCGGGAGGGACCCGCACCGGGCGTCCTTCACGGCGGCGAGGTCCCGGAGCTCCCAGGTGGCCCGCTGCAGCCTGTCCTCCAGCTCCGAGTTGGCGGCCTGCGCGCTCCGCAGGGACTCGGCCACCTGGGCGCCAGCCTCCCGCTGGGCCCCCAGCTCCTCGTTCAGAAGCTTCACCTGGGAGACAGGGGGATGGTGTCCTCACACGGCCCCGCCGGCGGCAGGGCACCCCCAGTGGGGCCGGCGTGACCCAGCCCGTGGCCCCAGCGGCCCCACGACCTGCCCCGTCGCCTGGCACGTGCTGTGAACAGTATTTAAATCCGGGCTCACACGTGCGGGCGGGGGCTGAGAGAATGTGGCCCAGACCCTGACCACGCACTCACGTTTTAAACAACCTTTCTTCGTGGGGGGGTGTGGGGGGCTGATGGCTGCTGCCCGAATCGGCAGCGGGTGTAGGTTGTGAGGCCTGGGGAGTGGGTGGAGGGGGCAAGGGGCGGGCAGCCGGCGTCCAGAGTCTGTGACCTACCCCCACAGCAGAGGGGGACAGGGTCTGCACAGCCCCCCACCCTGCAGCCCCTCCCCTGACCGCGTGCCCTGACACTGCGGAGCACAGGGTGACCCCCACGCGCCCCTCCCTTCTCCCCCGGCGCCCTGGTGAGGGTCCCTTGTGGGCAGCCCCAGCCTCGAGGTCTGGGCAGCACTGCTCTGGGGGGAGTGGCCCAGGGACTTGCTCAGAAAGGCAGGCAAGGCCCAGGGGACCGAGAGGGGCTGGGCCCCCACAGGGCCGCTGGGCAGGGCGGGTGCTGCCCCGACTTCTGCCTCCCCTGCAGACCAGACCCCATCTTGGAGCCAGAGGCCAGGCGTGTGCGCCCCCCACCCCAAGCCCTGGCAGCGCCGCGCTCCTGCAGAGGAGGTGGCCTCGTGGGGACCCGCCCCCCAGCGCAGGCCCCGGCCTGGGGGATACGCCCGCTACCTTGAGCTCATGTGCCAAGACCACGCTGCTCATGCTGTCCGCCTGCAGCCGGAAGGCCTGCTCCTGCTTCTGCGTTTCGGATTCAAACTCCAGCAGCAGCTCCTGGGGCGGGGGGGGGGGGGGGCTCGGGGTGAGTGGGGCAGGGCCCCGAGGAGACCAGCGCTCGCGAGCCGGTGGCACCGACGGGCCTGCAGTGCACGCTCAGTGCCGACACTTTCTGCTCGGAGCTGGGGCCCCTCCCAGAGCCCCCCAGAGGGCCCATCGGGAGGACAGTCCAGAGCCCCCCACCCCATAAGCGGGCTGTCAGCCCAGTGGCTGGGGCCATGGAGCCACGGAGTCTGGGGAGGGGGCGCAGGGAGCCCGCCTGCCCGCCCGTTGGGAAAGCCGGCTGCCTCTCCCGGGGGTTGAGAGGGGCCTCAGAGGCCCTGCACAGACCGGCAACCGGAAACCTGTGCTTTGCTGCTGTACCCCATGAGAGCCAGAAGCAGCGAGCGCCAGGGGTCACAGCAGTGACTGTCCCTGGAGCCGGAGCAGACAGCCCTGGTGCCCGCCCTCAGCACACGGCCACGAAGCGGCAGGTTTCTGCTCCTGCGCTGCAGGCTGCGGCCACCAGGGGGCAGCCGGCCCCAGGCCTGGGACCATGGGCCGAGGGGTGTCACCTGGGCAGGAGGACCCACCGCCCACGTGCCGCTGTGCCCACCGCCCTCTGTCCCCACCGCCCCCAAACACGCCCGCCTCCTGGCCACCCTCTCCTCTTGCCCTGGAGTCCCCTCCTCCCAGTCCCGCTCTGGCGCCCTGCAGCCACAGCCCCCTCACCGGCCACGTCTCCCCTCAAGCGGGACGGCCCCAACCGGACAGCCCTTTGTCTACGTCCACTCCTGGGGGCCCCCACCCCATCTCCGAGGCCCGCTGCCCTGCGGCCCGAGCAAACGCCCTTCCCGTCCAATCCCATGTCCACACACGGCCGGTCAGCGTGTCCTCCGCCCCTGTCGCCTCCGCCTCCTCCAGCTGGGCGTCCCCAGACCCTGCCCGCTCCCCCCGCCCCCTCAGCAGCCTCCTGGCCGCTCCCGGCCCCGCGGCCCACGAGCTCTCATCGGGCCACCAAGCCCATGTGGCTTTTTCCCACAAACTCCAAAGACACACTTTCCAGTTTCACTGATAACTAACTTATTGACTGGGACGTCCTGAGTGTGTCGGTGACCTCCCACGTGGTAGAACACTGATCGCTCTCGAGTAACGTCTCGGTCTGATCGCGGGGAAGCTCCCACTATCAACCTGAGCGGGTGCGCCCGACCCTGGGGCGTCATCCGGCGAGAGGTCTCCAGCACGGAGCCTCCCCGACCACTCCTGACATGTCTGATCAACCACAGCACCTCCTCCACACTCGGCACAAAACTCTTTATGTGCTTCAGTTGCATTTTACCTCTTGAAATAACAAAGTACAATCTGCCGAAAATGTTGCATATTTTCTTCCACCTTCAATATTAAAACGTCTGCACAAAAATTCAAGTTTGGCACGCTTTTTTAAACGCACGCTGACACGACAGCTGTCACAATACAATCTAACCAAATTGCTTTGAATGAAATTAAAGGCAACTAAGCGCCACTAGAGCCATCGTACAGAAAAAAAGAAACAAACTCCTCGGCCAGCCCACGAGTCACAGCTGAGCTCACCGGGCACACGCTGCTCCCAGCCCAAAGCCGGAGCCCTTGCCCCTGGAGCAAAGCCCCTCCTGGCGACGGCCTGGGAGCCCCGCCCCCGAAACCCCTGCGCCCCCGACACTGGCCCCCAACTCCCTGGGCCAACGGGGGCTGAGGCTCCCCCACCCTCCGCATCTGCAGAGGTGGGCTCACGTGTCCTGTTCTCGGGGCTCCCTTCTGCCCCCAGTGAAGAGGTCAGCCCCGCCCACCGCGTCCCGCGGGTGACGCCCCCTCAGGCAGGGCAGCTCGGCAGGAGCTCCTCCGTCCGTCACCCCGCTCTGCCCGGGGGGCCCTGACCCCAAGCCCACCCAGCAGCACAGCCTGGTCCCCTCCACGCACGCTGCCTTTCTCCAGAGAAAAGTCGTCACCAGCGCGAGGCCGACTGCGTTTCTGCGTCGCCAGCGGGCACGAGGCAGGGCCGGCCCACAGGAGTGCCCGCTCTGTCCCGGCCGGAGCGCGCGGCCAGCAGGGCAGGGTGCCGGGGCAGACAGACCACGGAAGGCCCGCCCTCCACCCGTCCTCACCCCCCCCCGACTCCGGGCAGCCCCCCCGCGGTCGTCCCCCTACCCCGCCGACACGACGACCCTTGGGACAGGGCGGCCCGCGCGGGGGCCCGACGCCGCGCGCCCCACCTGCCTCTGCAGGGCCAGCTGGCCGTCGAGCTGCTCCAGCCTCCTCTCCAGCGTCCACTGCAGCTTCTCGTACTGCTCCCGCTGCCGGTCGACCTCGCTGCTCTTGTCGCTGAGCGGAGACAGCGGCGTTGGGACGCGACTCAGCCAGCGTCCCCAGAAGGACGCAGTCGCCGGGTGAGCCTGAGGGGCCTGAGCCGGAGCTCTGCTCTGCAGAGGCGGCTTGGGGGAGCCCCGGGGGGCTGCGCTCACACCCTCCACCCCGCCTGCTCGCTGCACCCAGACGGGCGACCGCCTGCGGCAGAGCGCGGAAGGGGGGCGGAGCCTCGTCTCAGCGCCTGTCCCCGGGGAGTCCAGGAAGCACGCCCAGGGCCAGGGAGATCTCCGCTCACTCGCTCGGGTGGAACAGGAGGCCGGCAGGTGCCGACGCCAAGGGGACGGCGGCCGGCACTGCCCCCCAGGTCCGAGAGCCCCACCGTCAACACGCCCCAGCCGGCGATCCAGGGCCCGCTCAGAACGGAGGGGACCCTCCGCAGAGGGTGGGGCGGGGACACGGCAGAGGGCCTGGAGGACGTCTGGGAGCCGACACGAGGGAGAGCCCCAGGCTCAACCACAGCGTGAGGACGACAGAGGAAAGAGGCGGGACTGGCGGACAGAACAACGGACGGCACCGGACCAGAGAAGAGGGGAAGGGGCTGAAAGCGCAGGCTGAGGGGCCATGGGGCAGCAACAGGAGTGCCAGCGCTCACGTCCGGGTCCCAGGGCACAGGACACAGCAGGGGGACGGAAATGCGTTCCGGGGAACTGATGGCTGAAAATGCCCCAAATTTGACAAGAACGAGTGGGCAAAGGACCCGAGGAGACACTCGCAGAGCAACGGAAAGCACCTCGAGGACGTTCTGGACGCTCGGCGGGCGTGAGGGGGGAGACTGGCGGCCCTCGGAGGGCCCTGCAGTGAGCAGCAGGCGGCGGAGACCCTCGGGCTCTGGGCGGGGCTGGCCTGGGTGGAAGGCCACCGTGCATTCCCGGGACCCCAGGGAGGCGGTGCAGGGTGTGGACACCCGTTCAGAGGGCCAGCAGCCTGGCTCTGGGCCCGTCCGAGGGGACGGCCGGGCGCCCGCCAGCAGGGGTGTGGACCGGCGCACGGGGCAGGGGCAGGGGTGGGCGGGTCCCCACCTGTGGGCCCGCCGCAGCGCCAGGCGGTGCTCTTGCTCCTTCTGCTGGAGCTGCTGCTGCAGCTCCTCCCGCCGCCGGGCCTCCCTGGCCAGCGCCTGCCGCAGCCGGGCCGCCTCGACCTTCAGCTCGCTCACCTCGGCCTGCCGGGCGCCCTCCAGCCGCTGGGCCTGGGCGAAGGCGGCGTCGTAGCGCTCCAGCTCGTGGTCCCGCTCCTCCAGCACCTGCAGGTTGTAGACGAAGTCCTCCTGCAGGCGCCGCAGCCGGCCCTGCGCCTCCTGCAGCCGGCCCTGCGCCTCCTGCAGCGCCGCCTCCTGCAGTCGCGTGCGCTGGGCCTGCAGCGCCCTCCACTCCTCCTCCTTGCGGGCCAGCAGCTCGCCCAGGGCCTGCTCCGAGGGGGGCGGCGGCATCGCAGCAGCTGCAGTGAGAGGGGGCGGCGCCGTCAGGGACTCTCGCTGTCCTCGCACAGGGTCCCCGCGGAGCCTCGCTGACACCGACCGCTGTCCCCACCGCAGGCAGCGGGGGCTCGGGTCAGCACCCTGCTGCCTGGTCACCCTGGGCCCTGCAGTGCAAGGGGTTCCCTCGGCCGTGAGGGTCCCGGGCGGCACACACGTCACGAGTGACATGCATGGGACACGCAGCACAAGGGACACACCTGTCGAAAACAGCACACCACACACACAGGAGGTAACACGCATGAGTGACACCTGCTGTGGGTGACCTGCGTGCAGCACGGGTCGGGCCGGGGCCCTGCGCTGGCGCCAGGCTCTCTGGGAAACCAGGGCCAGGCCAGGCTGCTCCAGGCCAGCCACGAAGGTCAGGGGGAGCCGGGGCGTGGGGCAACGAGGTGGCGCTGCGGCCTCCACAGGTGGCTGTCACACAGGGAGTGGGTGGGGACGAGCCCAGGGGACGGTGATCCCGAGTGCCACCTTCTACAGCAGAAGCGCCAGCACCCTGGGGAGAAGCGCCTGAGTCCAGGCCGGGTCCCGAGAAGCCCCGGATGGGCCTGGAGCGGCGCGTGGAGCGGGGGGGGGGGGTGGGGGGGAGGGGGAGGGTCAGACAGGCGGGGCCACGCAGAGCACAAGAGCCAGTGGGCCGGGGCGCCTCACGCCTGAACCCGGACAAGCAGAGCAACCGAATAAATGGTGGTGATGGATTACAACCCGTGGAATTGAGAAAAAACTGTCATCCTGGCTGGCGTAGTAGCTCAGTGGACTGAGCGCGGGCTGCGAACCAAAGCTTCGCAGGTTCGATTCCCAGTCAGGGCACATGCCTGGGTTGCGGGCCACGGCCCCCAGCAACCACACGTTGACGTTTCTCTCTCTCTCTTTCTCCCTCCCTTCCCTCTCTAAAAATAAATAAATAAAATCTTAAAAGAAAAAGAAAAAACTGTCAACACCCACACAACGAACAGAATGAACAGGAGAATGGAGAGCAAGATTCTTCCTTGCAGTAGACACCCTGCTAACAAACGTAGAAGGAATGACAGTAATGGGAAAAAGTCACCGTTTGGCAACTATGACGCACGCGTGTTGGAAAACACTCGCTCTCGGGCTGGACGCTGAGACCAGCGACAAGCAGCGTGGCCACAGACGGAGACTCGGTCTCGAGGCCTCTCCCCACGAGGCACCTATTATTCACCCGGGAAAAGTGACCAACTCTGACGGAGACCCCGGGAGACCCCACGCAGGCCACGTGACCCGCTCGTAACGGGACCAAGTGACACCGTCTGCCCGCTGCCGAGATGCACGGAGAGGAACACAGTTTCCCCGTTCAGGTTTTCTCACGGAAAGTGCGGAACTTGACATTATGACTCACGAGGAGCCGCCAGATAAACCCAAGCTGAGGAGGAGTCTACAAAGTAACCGACTGTGAAAGTCAAAGCCGGACCAGGAACTGGTCCGGATCGCAGGAGAGGAGGGCGGGGACAGCCGTGGGCTGGACCCTGGGCGGTCAAGTCGCCTGCGCGGCTCGTCGGCGAGTCCTGTCCGCGGGACACTGGTTTGGAAACCGGAAAGGTCGGCCCCAGAGGCACTCGGGAGAGGCCAGGACTGAGCCTTTACCGCCGCTTCCTCCCCTAAAGCCTCTCCTAACCTCTCCTCTCAAGGCGACCTCTTTCTGAGAAGAAAAGGGGAGGGGAGGGTTTTGGAAAAAAGGCTGAGCAGAGCCCGTTTTCCTAGTATCTCTGTGTCTGCTGATCTCAGTTCTTTATCTGCAGCAGAGGCAGTCCCTAACCCTGGGACACGCTGGGTCCGGTGCGTCTCCGGGGCTCGCCCACGCTGGGGGCGCGAGGTCGGCTTGTCGCCTCCTGGAGTCTCGCGGTGGCGCCTTCCAGGGCCCGTAACAACAGCCTTCCACGTGCATCGGTCACCCCAGGCTGTGACTCAGGCGGCCTCAGGCATGACTCGGGCCACAGCGTGCGCTCCCCGAGTTCCCTGTACGTTTGCGTTGTCAGCCCGCCAGACCCCCTGTGCTCCCGCAGGGGGTCGGGGGACCTCGGCAAACGGGACGGGGCGAATCCCTGTACCGCCTCTGACACTTTAAAATAAGTTCCACATACTTTTTCAACCGCCGCCCTGCAGGCAGCCTCGCCTGTGGGCGGGCGCCGCAGGGACGCAAAGGTTGGGCCGCACAAACCTGGAGCCGGCGAGCGTCTGCAGGGGACGGGCGTGCGGGGCTCCGCGGCCCGGCTCTGGGCGCCCGCACCGCGGACTGCGAAGTCTCGAGTTTCTCCGCGCTTTTGCAGGAAAGCGACGAGAGACCGCGAGCGAAGGACCCTTGCGCGCGCCCTCGTCTCACCCGGAGCGCGGGGTCCTGGGCAACCTACGCTCCCGCCGCGTCGCCATAGCGACACGAGTCCGTCCGCCGCGGTCCGGGCGAGCGCGGTGCAAAGCTCAAGTCCCGCCGGCGGGAAACGCGGGCCAGGTTCCAGGTTCCTACAGCCCGGCCCGGCCCCTCCCGGCTCGGAGCGCGGGCGCTGGGTGGAACATGGGGCACACGGCCGACCCGTCTCGGAGTGGGGCCAGCCGAGTGAGGAGGGCCGCGGACCGTCTGGGGTGGCGGGGTGGACCAGAGGGCCCGAGGCGCCTCCAGGTCGGGAGCTCCCGGAGCGCGCCGGTCTTGAACCCAGAGGGCGGATCTAAGCGGCGGCAGGGGCTGCAGGGGGCGGTGTACGTCCCTCGGGCAGCGACAGGGCGCGGCTGGGCAGGTGTTCAGGGCTGGGCGCTGTTGAAAGGTTTGGTCTGTGAGACTTTGTCTGCCGTGAGCGCTCACAGCCGGTGCGCTTTTGTGCATGAGTTCGATCATACGTTGCAAAGAGAAACAAAAGCACCTTTGCAGGCAGTTTCTGGGTAGGGACACCGGTCACCAGCGTCTGAGCGTCCTCTGGAGCTGAGGGGTACACGGTTGCCCCAAGTAAAGACAAAACGTGAGCTCACCCCGCCTGGAGGTGGCACTGTGGGGCTCCAGGCAGCGATGGGCACAGAGGCCCCTCCCGTCTGTTTTCTCCATCCCCAAGGCCTGGGGGCTGCCCAGGGCTGGTCCCTAAGTTGGTTGTGCCAGTGCTGGACAAACGTCCCAACCCGGTTAATCCTGAGAAAGGCTCTGCCGTAGGAGGCAGCTTTCAGAGCGGGGTCCAGGAGGTACTAAATATCAGGCAGATCAATAAGCCAGGCTGCGTGGGAAGTGGAAGGTGTCAGGGTCTCCCAAGGGTCCAGCGAGAGATGTCCGGACAGTGGGCACCAAGCGGGCATTTGGCCACGTAGACCCCCCAGCTGTCTTTAAAGGGGGCTGGCACCCACCTTCTTTACCATCCCACCCACTGTGTAGAAGACAGCCAGTGAGGGGAAGGTGACTGGGGGCCTGGGGGTTCCCTGGGGGGGCTCACAGCATGCACCTCACTCCCCAGGGACCATGATGTCCGCCTCTGCACGGGGGGGAAGCCAAGAGCCCGTGAGGCCCCGGGCAACCCTGCACACCTCCCAGTTTCACAAGCCCCACGTGGAAGCCCACCCTTGAGCTGGAGTCACTGTGAGGACGAGGGATGGGCAATGGCTGTCAGCTGCCCCTAGGAGGCGTCCTGCCCCTCCGAGCCCCTGGGCGGTCCCTTGGGGAGCAGTGGGTGCCGAGTCATGGAGAGGAAGGGCTGCGGTTGGCACAGGAAGGTCGTGCAAGGCTTCGAGCTCTGCACTGGCTGGAGGGGATGTGCAGAGGCTTGGCACACAGCCGAGCCCACTCCCACTGCCCCACAAAGCCTGGCTGCCATCCTCCGCCCGGCCTGGGGAAGAGATGCCCATCCTCCGCCTTGGGGCAGGGGCTGGGACACTTTGAACTGAGATTGGGGGGCATGTGGGGAGCTGTAGCTCCAGGTCCCACTCTCCAGCTGGGTGGGCGTGGGTGAGGGGAGCTGGGGGGAAGCACTGAGGCTGCATGGGAGAGCCAGCAGAGGAGCCCTGGGGGCCAGAGACAGCCACAGGGAGAAGTTGGGCACCATCTGGCCACAGGTCTGAGTGAGGCCGGAGAAGTGGCCACTACGTTTGGGGCTGGAGGCCTGGACAGGAGTGTGGGGCAGTGTGTTTTCGCCCAGGGCCAGGTCCCTGACTGAGGAGGGTCTGTGTGTGCGGTGCTGAGCTCAGCCAGCCTCCTCAGCGGTCCCCAACCTGTGACAGGTGCCGAACCTCACCTGGTCAGCAGGTACCGCGTGGATGCCCTCACACCCGGGAGCAGGCCCCTGCCAGCAGAAGCCGTGCAGCCAACAGCTCTGTCCCGGGCCCCGCCTCAGAAGACTGCAGAAGCTGGGGGCCAGGCTGAGCCACGGGAGGGCCACACCCCACACCCCAGTGGAGCTCTAGCCACCAGCTTTTCACGGACAGCGTCCTGCGTCCTTGCCTGGCCACCCCACAGCTTCTTAGCGACACCTCACTCAGCCCAGATCTGGTGGCAGACGTCCACAGATGAAGTGGACAGCTGCTCCAGAGCTAGGGAGTGTCCCTTCCCTGTGCCTGTGGGACTCGGGGTGGGGGCAGGCCTGTGGGCAGCAGCAGAGCGGGGCTGGGGGCCTCCAGGAGGAGGGGAGGGAGGAGCAGGCAGCGGGACCCTCCCACAGAGGCTGGAAGGGCAGCTCGGGCAGCCTGGAGGCACCGGCACAGGCAGCAAACAGGGAGGTGAGGGGACCCAGCCTGAGGGGCGAACCGAGTGAAGGCCCCACTGGTTCGTGTTTCCCTGTGTCCCAGCCCTGCCCCCAGGGCCAGCCTAGCTGGGCAGGGGGCCCCGAGGACCCCCAACCCCACCCATAGCTCAGGATGGGATGGGGCAGTGGAACCAGGAGGATAAGTGCCCTGAGCGCTGGGCCCAAAGGGCCTAGGGACCGGGGGAGCCCCAATGTGCAGGGCCGCTTCCTGTCCAGCCTGCAGCCCGAGGCACAGGCGGGGCTCCAATGGCCCCACGGAGCCCGTGGCCCCCAGAGCAGCCGGGACTGCAGGCACCTCGCGCCCTTCGTGCCGGGGAGAGCTGCTCCCCCAGCACCCACATGGGCCTGCCCCTGCTCCGTGCCCTTCACTAGGGCCCCCTGCATGAGGCTCAAGCGCTGTGGGTGGCGAGGGGCGGGGGCAGGGCTTTGCTGCCCCAGGAGTGGGAAGGGGACATCCAGGGCAGCCTCCGGCCCCACAAGGAGGCCCCTGCCTGGCACCGCCCACTCTGGCTTCAGCGTGGGAGCTGGCTGACCACAGGGACTTACCCCTGCTAGGGCTGGGACGGCCGGATGTCCACAAGCGGAAGGAGGTCCCCTGTCCCCCACACCACATACGGAAAACCCCTCCACATGGGCCAACCTCGACATGAGAGCTAAGCCTGCAAAGCTCTCAGGAGGAAACATGGGGGCAAGTCTTCGCCACACGGGGTCGTTGGACATGACAGCAAACACACAGCTGCCCAAGAAACGAAGACAAAGCTTTTGCATGTCAAGGCCCACGGGAGAAGCCCCGGCTGGCACAGCTCAGTGGATTGAGCGCGGGCTGGGAACCAAAGTGTCGCAGGTTCAATTCCCAGTCAGGGAACATGCCTGGGTTGCAGGCCATGACCCCCAGCAACCGCACATTGATGTTTATCTCTCTCTTTCTTTCTCTCTCTCTCTCTTTCTCCCTCCCTTCCCTCTCTAAAAATAAATAAAATCTTTAAAAAAGAAAAAAAAGCTCACAGGAGAGAGTGAAACCACCGCCCAGGAGACGGGGGCAGACAGCTGCAAACCACACGTCTCCTCGGAAGGGCCCAGGACTCGTCCTCCTGACACTCGGCAAAAAGGCCCGAACGGACGGTTCTCCTGCGGAGACGCCGAGCGCCCGCAGGCCCGCGGGAAGGCGCTCCGGGGCGTCAGTCCTCAGGGGACGCGAGTCGACGCCACCAGCGCGGCTTTAGGGAAAGGGGCAGGGAGCCTCGCGGTCCAGGCGTGGAGGAACCGGGTCCCCGCTGCCGGGGCGGCTCCCTGCCCCCCAAGACAGAGGAAGACGGGTCCCCACGGAAACTCCGCCGGGGGGTGTCTGTGTGGGTGCAGCGCGTGGCTCATGGCAGCCGGGAGGCGGCAGGGACCTCGGCGTCCCCCGGCAGACGAGTGGGGTGCACCCACACGGCAGAGTGTCTGTCGCTCGGCCGTAACCGGGGTGACGTGGTGAAGGCTGCTGCGCGGAGGAGCCTCGGAGACGTTGGCCGAGGAAGAGCAGCCGGTCACGAGAGGCCGCGCGGCATGTGGCTCCTGCCGTGGGGCGCGCCGGGAACAGGCCGAGGATGGGGCTGGGGGCAGCGGCTCATCGAGGAGCAGGACGCCCCGACCCCCAGCCCCACTTACCAGCCGAGCCCAACGGCAGCCGCCTGGGCCGAGAGCACAGCTGAGTCGGGCCGGGCCGGCCTCTCCCACCCGGAGTCCGGGCAGGTGTGGCCTCGGGGCAGGGGGCGCGTGAAGAGGGGCTCGGGCCACTGCGCACCAGGTCCCTGAGGAGAGCGGGGTCTCTCCTGAGCCGGGACCCCTGTGGGCCCCGGGGCAGGGCTGGTGGCTGGGCAGGAGCGTCTGCCCCATGACCCAGCTGTGTTCGCTGACGCCGCCGGGCCTGCCTCGGCCCTGTCCTCGGGGTGGTGTCAGGCTGCTGGGCAAACCACAGGCCTGGTGTCCGGTGGGGGCTTGAAGACTGGGTTCTGAGTGGCTCCACCAGGCCCCGGGAGCTTCCCTGGGGCCTGGGACCTGGCCCAGGAGGAACAGGAGGCCTGTGCCCTCGCCTCCCTGGGTTCTGCCACCAAGACCCTCAGAAGCTTCTCCAGGTTTCCAGCGTCATTCCTGGAACTCCTCCGTCCCCGCGCACAAGCAGACAGAAGGCGGGGCACACCCCCGAGCCTCGGCCAGCCTGGGAGGGCGGGTGGGGACAGCCCTGGAGACCCCTGGAGCACGTGGGCCTGCGGCAGTGACTTCCCGTGGCTGGAGCCAAGGGCATGGGGAGGAGCTTGGGGGAGGGGTCTCGGCGTCCAAAACACAAAGCAGGGACTTGGCACCTCGGGAGAGGTGGTGACACGGTGGACTCGGCCCGGAGGCCAATCCTGCCCCGCTTTGCGTGTGGGGTGGGGGCTCCCGAGGCCCCTGGAGAGGTTATCCTCCACTGAAGCCCCACCCCCCGACCTGCTGAGATCTCTGTGATAAAGCCTGGAGCGGGCAGCGTCCCTGCCTGCCGCAGCCCGGGAGCCTCGGTGCCCCTCCAAGTGGGGCGGGTGGGAAGTGTTCCCGTGGCCCCAGCTCCAGTGCCCCCCCCCCAGAGTCACACTGCCTGGCGCCTCCCCAGACCTTAGCTCTCCCCAGGGGCAGGGGAGACCAGTGAGGTCTGAGCACCTTGCCCCTGCCGGCAGAGGCACCCCTCCCCCAGAAGCGAGTGTCTGCGGAAGGGCGGACGTGTCCCGCGGCCACACGGCCCACACGTCCGAAGGTGCTGGGTGCGTGAGGGGAAGGAGAGCGGCTTTATCCGGCGTCGCAGAGCCCCGAGCCACACGGGGAAACGGAAGTTCGTGGGGGGTGCTGCTTCACCCGGGGAGATCACATAGGCAGCGCAGGGCCCGCCCCGAGCGCGCCCCAGCCCCAGCCCAGGCCCCCGAGGAAGCGCAGGTTTGGATGGGGGTGCAGACCCCGGGTGGGGCTGGGGAGGGGGGCCGGAGACGTGGGAAACCCACGGGGTCCGAAAACACCGCTGCACGAGAGCTGCTGGTGGGCGCACGGCCCCGGGAGCAGGGGTGAGAGGGATCCCTGCCCGGAGGGAGGTCCCGGGATGGCCAGAGTTGGAAACCAGCGGCCCTGAAGCCGGCAGGCGGAGGGGTGGGAGGCGGCCAGGCGCTGGGCGGCCCGACCGAGGGTTCAGAGGGCGCGGGACGAGCCGGACGAGGAGCCCCGTCCCCAGGCTGGGCCGGCTCTGGGGCCGCTGGGCCCGGTGGGAGCGCGGCCGCCGTGGTCTGGGAGCAGGGGGCGCCCCTCCCTCGGCCGCGCGGGGTCCGGGCGGGGCGGCAGGGGCGGCGCCGGCAGCCGTGACGTGCACAGGGGACGTGCGGCGCGAGCAGCTGGGGCGCCCGGTCGCCCCCAGTGCGGACCCAGCGGCCGGGAAGTCGGGCAGGAGCCGCCAACGGGTGGCGGCAGGTAGGCTCGGCCCGGATGCTCCGCACCGGCTGGGGGCCAGCGCGGGGACCTCCCAGTCCGCCCGGGCACTGAGCCCGCGCTTTCGCTCCGCTCGCCCCTGCCCCTCCCGGTCCCAGGCGCCGGGCTCGGACCAGCCTCCCGCCCCTTGCGGGTGCGCCCCAGAGCTCCCCAGGGGCAGCCCCCTCCACGCCCCGGACCCAGGCGGCCCACGGTCGACCCCCTCTGCCCAGCGCAGCCACCCCTCCGTCACACAGCCCTCGGGGGCTGGGCTCCAGCCAGGAGGTGGCTGCGCCCGGGGGCCCGGCCAGTCCCGGGTATAAATAGCTCGGCCCACGGCGGGCCAGGCGCGCTCGGGCTATATTTGGTGGGGTCCCCTCCCAGGGAGCGGGGAACGTGGGGGCAGCCCTCGTCCTTATCTCCTTTCCTCCTGGCCTCACCCTAAACTTGCTCCGCCACCAGGAACTGGCCTGGGCCCCCTGGGTTCCCCTCACCCGCGCCCAGGCCCAGACCAGGTGGGGCCTCAGTGTAGTTATCCAAACAATGGGTTGGTGATGCATCTACCCAGACGGTGGACCAGGCTTGTGGCCAGCAGGCCTGTGAGTGGACGAGGAGTAGTGAGTTGGGCCGCTGGGGATGCCCAGTGTCTGCGAGAGGGACGAAAGGGCCCGAGTGCCGTCTGTCCCCGAGGCGCCTGAGCGGACAGAACGGCTCTGTGTGATGGCCACAGCCAGGCGGTCTGAGTGAGGGGCAGTGGATGAGGGGCAGTGGATGGCGGCCACACGCTCCTCCATGCAACCCAAGCCCCTGGGGCTCGTCCAAAGCCCAGAGCAGGGGTGGGTGCTGGGTGGGTGGGTGGGTGCCAGGTGCTCCCGCCTCACTGCCAAGGCCCGAGGGCTGTGGGTGCTGGGAGGTTGGACTGGGCCCTGGGGCTGGGGCAGGGGTTGAGGCCTTGCTCCGCGGCGGGAGGTCCGCTCCACAAGGGCCGTGAGGATGCCCGCAGCCGTGGCCAGGTGGGTGTGGGGCCTTCCTGCCCAGCAGTCTGTGGTGTGGACAGAGCCTGGGGTGGGCCCTGGGAGGCCTGGTCACAAGGCAGGCTCTGTAATGACCCCACGTGACCTCGGGCAGGGCCTGGCACCAGGAGACGACCGGACTCCAGCCGGACACCTCAGCTGGAGGGGCAGCGCGGAGGGGGCTTTGGGTTCCCCAGGGCAGCCTCGAGGAGGTGTGAGTGGAGGGGGCCCTGGGGCTGGCCCTTCTGGGAGGTGGTCAGTGCAGAAGCGCCAAGCAGAGCCCTGGACCCATGCACGGGGCCTCGGGGTCAGGCCTGGCACACCGGGCAGGCCCGTGGTGGGGGTGGGGGTGGGGGTGAGGAGCGGGGCGGGCAGGGTCTAGGTCTCCTCCAGCGTTGCCTCGGCCCGCATCTGTGAAATGGGCCGCCAGGGGACGCCGTCCCGGAGACCGGTGTGTGGGCCGCCCCAGCGGAGGGAGAGGAAGCTGGCCCCGCCCTGAGGGAGCCGCGGGATTCCGCGCTGCTGCGGGGATCGCTGACCCAGCGGCCCGCACGTCGCCGTGCGCGCCGGATAATACGGCATCGGGCAAGGGGGCGCCTACTCCAGGCAATACGGCGGCCGCTCCTCCCTCGGCGCGTGGTCACGTCCCCCACGTCCCGCGGCCGGCGAGCGGTCCGGCGGAGCATCCTCCCTGCCGGAGCCCCCTCGCCCGGCGGGAGGCGCATCCAGCCGGTCTGCGCCAGCGCTGGGGCGGGGGGGAGTGTGGCGGAGGGCGTGTGAGGTCCTTCCGCTCCCCAGCCACCTCCCTCCCCGCACCCGCCTTGCGAGAAGATGGGAGTCACCCTAGAGCTTGCAGGGGCACCAGGCACGCTGGGGGCGCAGACCCTTGTCCAGTGTCCCCCTCCCCCCTCCCCAGGAGCAGCGGCAGGTGCCACCCCCCCAGTCACAGCTTTGCAAGCTCATGGGGCGGCATCTGGGGTCCTGCCCCTCCCCAGGAGGCGGGGGTCCGGATGTGCAGGACAGGAAGGGGGCCCTCCCTCCTCCGGGCAGCACAGGGGCCAGTTGCCCGCTGCCGCCCCTGCCGGCTCCGGGGGCCTTGGGGCTGCTGCCCGGGGCTCAGGTGCCGCCGGCCTCCTGCTGAGGGAGGAGTCCAGAAGGCAGGCCGTGGCCCCTTTCCCGCCCAGGGCTCGGAGTGCGGGAGGACGGCCCGCCAGCCTCCCCAGGAGGCCACCTAGCGAGCGCTGCCCAGGCTGCAGGCTCCAGGGCTGAGGCCGCCGCACCGGACCCAGGGGACGTGGCCTCTCCTGGGGGCTGACGGGCCAGACTCCGGGACCGAGACACAGGGCGAGGGGGCTGCGGCACAGAGTGGGCCTCAGGGGCCGCAGCTGGGCACTGTCCACGCCAAGATGCAGTTCGAAGCCTGGGCGGATGCCGGCAGGGGAGCGACCCCGGGGTGGGGTGGGGAGCAGGGGTGACACCAGAGGAGGCCAGGCCCTCAGGGCTTCCCACCGGGCAGGTTGGGGGCCGGCTCCGGGGCTGGGACCCCTGAGGGAGCAGTTCGGGGAAGCCTGGCTGGGGAGGCTCGTGGGTGGGCCCTCAGGTGCGTGGCTGCCGAACAGGCCCCTCCAAGGGCCCCCGGGGGCTCTGCTCCTCGGTTGTCAGCCACCTAGGGCGTGGGGCCGTCGAGGGACCTGGCGGGGAGGGGCACCTGGCCCCCACCTGGGAGATCAGCTTTCTGCGGCCCAGAGGGCGGGTTATTTCTGGGCCCGGGACATGGTTTGCGTGCTTCCCTGGGAGGGTAAATGTCACAAAAGGCCAGCCAGGCACCACGGGCCCACCCCTGTGCTGGCACTGCCTCCCTGAGCACCACGTGAGGGTCCCCAATGCCCCCGGGGGGCCGCTCCCTGCATCCTGGGTCCAGACCGGGCAGTGGCAGGGTTTCCTTGGGCCTCGGCCAACCCCTCCTGTCCCTCATCGGGCAGGTTCGCTCCTGCAGCCCCCACCCCACATACGTGCTGTCCCGCTGGACAGAATCCCTTTGCCCCCAAACTAGAACCACCCCCCATCCTGCCTTCCCACCCCTTTCCCCGCACCCACCCCCCCCCCCACTCACAAATCACCACCTCCCAGGGAAACCTCACTGTGAGGAGCAGCTGGTGTGGGGGATGGGGTGGGGCCATTTCAGTGCCACCCACAGGCGGGCGGGGGGGGGGCGGTCAGCTGGGCCTGAAGAGCCGGGGGTGGGGAGCAGGGCTGGCAGGGAAGGCCCGGAGAGGGGCCTCTCGCCCCACGGAGCCATGAGTGGCAGCCGCTTGGCCCACACGGGTCCCGGGACGAGCGGCCCCCTCCTGGTGTCTGGGCCCCTCAGACTTCCAGCAGCTAGTTCGGGGGGCACCTCATATCCCACAGGGAGCTCCAGGCCCTCGAGGGCTGGCCAGGGAGGGACAGGGCGGCCGGTGCAGCGGGCAGAGCCTGGAGGGCGGCCGAGGCTCGCCTTGTGACGCTGGGCCCCCGGAGCTGGGCCGTCATTCCTCGTGGTCGCTCTGGACACGCGCCCCTCCCTGGTGCCGTCTGACCGCGGGCCCTGGGTCGGGGGTGTCCCCGCTTTCCCCCTTAAGTAACCTTGCCCGGTCACGACGTGTTCCTAAGACGCACCTATTTCCCAGTACGTTTCCTTCACAATGACCCCGAGTGACCTCCGGACTCGGGCTGCTGGGCGCCCACCAGCGTGTTGGGCCCGCAGGCTGACCCTGAGCTGGGGGGAGGCACCGAGCACAGAGGCCCCCTCCTCTGCAGTCCGGCCCCAGGCCCCCCGAGTGCCACCAGGGGCCGGGCCGGGCCCCAGGCCAATGGACGAGTGTGCAGGATGCGGGGATGCCCCCCTGGGGCCCTCTGCTGCTCCCAGACACCGGCCCAGCCCCTGCCTCGGGGGCAGCCCCCGTCCTGCTCGTGGTCGTCCGCCCGGGAGCCTCCCAAGTGCCCAGGGCACCGAGTCTGGGAGCAGCAAGCACCTCTCGGGTTTCCCAGCACTGGCGCCCGCGGCACTGCCCCGGGCCTCCAGCCCCGCCGGAGTGGGGTGGGGCGGTTCTGCCTCGTCATCACCCTGCGGACGGACTAGCGGGGCCCCGGGGGTCCGGCCCTCCCACGGTGCTGCCCTGCACAGCTGGGGCTGCTCCCCACAGTCACATGGGGAGGCCCCTGGAAAGCGTTCCCCCACACGCCCTCCAAGCCAGCGGCCCCCTAGAAGTCACCGCACCTGTGGCCAGGACGCTGGGGAGGGGACGGTGGCAGGCCGAGGTGGGGTCTGAGGACAGGGGCCAGAGTGCAGCCAGGACAGTCTGGCAGCCGGGGGACGGGGGGGGGGTTAGAGGGGGGCTGACGGGAAGGGATGCCAGGAGGTGCTCGGGCCTCGGAGCGGGCGGGAGTATTTATACCGCGGGACGGGGTGTTCCCTCAGAGGGCTGGTGCACAGCGCGCTGGGCCGGCCGCGGGGAGGACCCGGCTGCAGGGGCTGCCCTCCTCCCCCACGCCTGCAGCCGGGGCGGGCTCGCCTTGGAGCAGCTGCTGTCCGGCAAGGTGGGGGGCAAGGCCGCCAGGCTGCTCTGGAGCTGGACTTTCGGTGCCAGCATCGGCTGGAGGGGCGCACAGGGGATGAAGGGGATGAAGGGGATGAAGGGGCGGGTGGGCGGGCCTCCGGCTGCAAGTCTGGCCCCAGGTTCCAAGTTACCCCAGTCCCCAAGGAGCCCAGTCTCCGGGCGGTCAGAGGCCCGCTGGGTCTGGACCGCCGTGAGGTTTGGGCTGCCTGGCAGCTGGAGCGGTCTCTCCCCTGGGCTGGAGGGACGCCCCTCCCTGCCCGCCCCGAGCTCGCCACAGCAGCAGTCCAGCAGCGGACGGGCATCTGGGCTTCGGCCCTGCTGCCTGCCCAGTCCTTGGCCTCTCCCCTCTCCCCGGAGGAGCTGGGGCCTGTGCATTACAGCGGGTGGGGGCCTCCTGTCTGGGCACAGGGCTTGTCCTCGGTCCCCCCCGCCCCCGCCTGCTCAGTGGCACTGCTGTCTGTCCCCAGCCCCAGGCCCCAGATGGTGGGATTTCCCAGAGGGGGCCCCAGGTCCCTCCCCTCTGGGATGCCAGCCCGCCCTGGGGGCCCTGCTGCGTCACCCCAGGGCCAGAGGCCTGGGGTCTGCCTCCAGGAAGTGGAGCCTGAGACCCAGCTGAGCCCGGGAGAGCTGCTGCCCGTGGGGGCAAGCTGCGTGGGAGCCGCCTGGTGCAGGCGGGAGGCCTGCTGCCAGCCCTCGCTGGTGTCTGTCCCCGCACCGCCGGGGGACGGCCACCTGACGGCCTGGCTTCCTTTCCCAGGGACTCAGAGCCAGGAGCCAGCCCCCCTGCCATGGGCGGGGCCGTGGTGGACGAGGGCCCCCCCGGGGTCCCGGCCCCCGACGGGGGCTGGGGCTGGGCCGTGCTGGCGGGCTGCTTCGTCATCACGGGCTTCTCCTACGCCTTCCCCAAGGCGGTCAGCGTCTTCTTCAAGGAGCTGATGCACGAGTTCGGCATCGGCTACAGCGACACGGCCTGGATCTCGTCCATCCTGCTCGCCATGCTGTACGGGACAGGTGAGGGCCACCTCACGGGCTGACCAGCCAGCCGGCCCTGGCTGGGACCCGTCCCGACAGCGGTGCCCGCGCGGCTGTGAGGCCCGGAGCACCAGGCCGGGCCCTTCCTGGCAGGCGGCCGGCTCTCACGCCTGCAGACGCCCGAAAGGAGACCGCTGCTGCCACACGGCGTCTGGCCCGGTGCTCTGGGCCCTGGGCAGCCGGTGCTCCAGGGGTCTGCCTGGCTGGGGTGCTGGGGGGGGCCGGCCCGCCACTCAGCTGCCGCTCCCCCCAGGCCCGCTCTGCAGCGTGTGTGTGAACCGCTTCGGCTGCCGGCCCGTCATGCTGGTGGGGGGTCTGCTGGCGTCCCTGGGCATGGTGGCCGCGTCCTTCTGCCGGAGCATCGTCCAGCTATACTTCACCACTGGGGTTCTCACCGGTGAGTGGGGCCGGCCGCGGGGCGGGGGGGGGGCCGGATGACCACGGCTCAGGCCCACAGCTCAGACCCAGAGAAGCCCCGTCACCCCCACCCCAGGCACCAGCCTGGCCGGTGCTGCCCCTCCTGCTGTCTCTCCTGGCCCGTCCATCGGGGGCAGGGCTCTGTGCACACTGGGTCTCCTCACGGGGAACCCTCGATGCTGGGCCTGCGCGGGGGACAAAGGGGGCGGGGCAGAGGCGGAGGCGGAGGCGGAGGCGGGGCAGCACCTCACGGCCGGCCGTCCCCTTCCAGGCCTGGGCCTGGCGCTCAACTTCCAGCCATCCCTCATCATGCTCAACCGGTACTTCAACAAGCGGCGCCCCGTGGCCAACGGGCTGGCGGCGGCGGGCAGCCCCGTGTTCCTGTGTGCGCTGTCCCCGCTGGGCCAGCTGCTGCAGGACTACTACGGCTGGCGGGGCGGCTTCCTCATCCTGGGCGGCCTGCTGCTCAACTGCTGCGTGTGCGCCGCGCTCATGCGGCCCCTGGTGGCGGCCGGCGCGGCGCCCGCGCCCGGGCCCCAGCGGCCGGCCCGGCGGCTGCTGGACCTGAGCGTCTTCCGGGACCGCGGCTTCGTGGTCTACGCGGCCGCCGCCTCCACCATGGTGCTGGGGCTCTTCGTGCCGCCCGTGTTCGTGGTGAGCTACGCCAAGGACATGGGCGTGCCGGACGCCCGGGCCGCCTTCCTGCTGACGGTCCTGGGCTTCGTGGACATCTTCGCCCGGCCCGCCGCCGGCTTCGTCACGGGGCTCCCCCGAGTGCGGCCCTACTCGGTCTACCTCTTCAGCTTCTCCATGTTCTTCAACGGCTTCACCGACCTCACGGGCTCCACGGCCGGCAACTACGGCGGCCTGGTGGTCTTCTGCATCTTCTTCGGCATCTCCTACGGCATGGTGGGCGCCCTGCAGTTCGAGGTGCTCATGGCCATCGTGGGCACCCACAAGTTCTCCAGTGCCATTGGCCTCGTGCTGCTGCTGGAGGCCATTGCCGTGCTCATCGGGCCCCCGTCCGGAGGTGAGGCTGCGGCGGGCGGCGGGCCGGGGACCCGGGCCAGACCCCCTGTCCCAGCACCTGCCCGTCCCAGGGAGGGGCCCCTACGGTGGGGTGGCCGTTGGCAGGAGGAACCCCTCCCCCCTCCCAGCACAGCCAGGCCGCCCCGTCCCCTGGCACGCAGCCAGCAGGTGTGGGGAAGGGCCCGCTCAGTCCGCCGAGGGCCAGGGCTGGCTGACGCACCTCCCCCCCTGCAGGCAGGCTCCTGGACGCCACGGGAAGGTACCAGTTCGTGTTCCTCCTGGCGGGGGCGGAGGTGGTGGCCGCCTCCCTGGTGCTGCTGCTGGGCAACCTCTGCCTTGGGAAGCGGCCCACGGGGGCCGCCCAGGAGGAAGAGGCCCACAAGCCCCCGGTGGATGCCAGGGACGGGGTGGACTCGAGGGAGGTGGAGCAGTTCCTGAAGGCGGAGCCCGAGAAAGCTGGGGAGACGGCCCACACCCCGGAGACGAGCGTCTGAGCCGGCGCGGCCGGGATGCGGGGACACCGAGTTGAGGCCTCAGGGCTTGCGTTTATTTCGCGGACAGGACCGGCTCGGGCGGGGCCCCGGCTCCCCGCAGCGGGTCAGCGCCATCACTGTTTTCCGGGGAGGCGGTGGGTGGGGACGTGTCATTCCAGAGCAGACCTGTGGTGAGGTCAAGCTCGAGTCACAGGCCGTCTGCACCAGGCGCCCAGCCTGCTGGGTGGCCAGGCGCCCACAGCTGGGCGCGAGGACTCAGAAACCCGGGCTTCAGAGACACTCTCCGGGCGGTGGCCCGGGCACAGCCCTGCGTCAGGCTCGCCCCCTGGGCCTGCCCCCCACACCCACCTCCACCCCGGTGCCCCCGCCCCAGTGTCTGGGGGCAAAGCTCCCCTCCTCCACCTCTGGAGGGTCTGGAATAAACCTGCCTGTCAGGGGAGCAGAGCCTGGCTTTTGAGGGAGTGCGTGGCCCGCCCTTCACCCCCAGTCTGACTTCCTCAGCGAACACCAAAGTGGCTCTGGCCCTGTCGGCAAGTTGGCTGAGTACCACGGGCGGGGGCCCTTCCGGCGGGCAGCCGGGACCCCCAAGGAGGTGTGTGTTCACAAAGAGCTGCCTGCCTTCTGTGTATTCGCTCCACGGATGCCGCCAGGGCCCTGGGGAGCTCCCCACACTCCCCATCCAGCCCTGCCGGCCTCGCCCAGGCCCCTCACACCCACCTGCCCTTGTGGCCGGTGGCGCCTGCATGGCTGGGGAGCGATCAGAGGCCACTGGGCCGCCTCAGTAGGTGATGCGTCGAGGGCGCTGGGGCCGGCACTGGGTGCCCTGGCGGGCCGTGTGCAGCCGGAGAGATGCCACGTCCCTGCTCCTCTGCAATGAAAAGCAAGCGAGGGCTCACGTCTGGGGCTCAGTCAGGAGACGGCGCCCCGGGGGTCTACGCGGAAGCCAGGCCCCTGTCCCTGGGCCCTGCCTGGCACCCTTTCCAGTCCTCCCAGCCCCTCTGCGGGCGGGACCGGGCAAAGGTGCAGCCCTGTGCCTGCTGCCTCGCCCTGCAGGCAGCATGCCAGTTGGTCCCCCCACCCCCGGCCCCGTCAGGCCTCGGAGGGCCAGCCCCAACGGTACCCTGGAGGCTGCTGGTCTGAGCAGCCACTTGCCTGTACCGGAGTGGGGGAGGGGAGAGGCGGGGTGGACAGGGCGCCCTCCATGCCCACTTCTGGCTCCTGGCAGGAGCCCCTGGGCTTGCTGAATGGGGGACAAGTACTACCACACATCCCCCCTCCCTCTCATCTTGAGCTGCCTCACCCCTCTGGCCCCAGGCGAGGACCGGCCAACCCCCAAGTCACGCTCTGGGGACACTATTAGGAGACCCTGAGATGGTCAACGCACCTTGGAGGCCTGGCTGGGGGCCGGGGCTGCGTGCCCCTGGCTGGAGGGCGCAGGCCGGACGCCAGGTGCAGCGGCCCCGCCCTGCCCGCCCAGGCCCAGAGTGTCCTCGTGTGGCCGCCCACCCACTGGAGACTCGAGCTGAGGAAACAATGACCAAGTGCCAGGAGCCGGGAGGAAAGGTAGACGTCGTATGTTTATTATTTACACGGTGTAGTGAGTACACAGGTACAGTGGTCACACAAATGCACAGGTCGGACACGTCACTGACACAGCTGCACAGACACGCCACCACAGCTCCTGGGCGCTGTCACGGGACGCGGCCCTGTCCACAGCCTCCTGCTGAGGACTCGGGCGGGGTGCTGCACGCAGCGGCCACCCCTCCGGGGGGCGCCCCAAAATGCCCTGACCCACCATCCCCCACCAAACCCTGTGTGCCGACACATCACCGCCTGGCACCCAGGACCCGCGCTCCGATGCTGTGGGGCTCCGGAGGGCCACCCCCCAAACACCCTCCGGGCCCACGGCTGCTCGCGAGCTCCCAGGTCTCCGAACACCGCTGCAGGGCTGACATGAGCAGGGTGGGAGCCCCCACGAGTGTACACACTGCGCCCCTTTCCGAGAAGGGCTCCTGTCTACTGGCTGCCACCACCTGGGGCCTTTGACACAGTAACGAGACAGGGAGCGGCACGGGGGCCCTGCTCCGCAGGTCCTTCTGGTGAGACATGGGGCCTGGCGGCTCCTGGGCTCCCGAGAGCACAACACACCTGTCTGGACCCGCAGCTCACGGGGTCCCTCCTCCTGGCACGTCCGGGGGGGACTCCCTCTGGCAGGCCCCTCTGGGCCAGCCCACACCCGGGGCGGCCAGCCCTGAGCACAGAGGCGTCAGCACACGCTAAGGGCCGCTCTGCATCACTGCTGTTCACAGTCTGTTCAGAAGACGCCCCCAATCCAAAGGCATTGCAGCAACCCCCACCGGCGAAGGGCCAGCACCGGCCCCGCCTCTGCCACCACGCCGCGCCGCGCCGCACCAGGAGCACGCGAGGCCCTGGCTCATGGCCGCACTTTCTACGGCTCCGTCGGCGGAGTGCTGGAGGCTCAGTTCACGGTGGGGAAGGGGTGGTGGCCCAAGCCAGGGGAGGTCACAGGACACAGCACACAACACACAGAGACACACACTGCACACACGTGTACACGTGACGATTTCTGGAGAACACCCCTCCACAGCGGGCCACGCCACACGGGCGCAGGCACGTCGGCGGCGGCACGAGTGCCCGGCACCCGCCTCGGGCGACACAGCAACTCCACGCCGGTGTCCGAGTCGGGACTCGCTGAAGTCTACGCCTTTCTCAAACCGGAGAGACAGACAAGAAGAAACAATAAAAAGATTTCTTTACACAGATTTAAGCCAATAATTTTTAGCAAAATGATACAAAACTGTCAGAACCGAGTGGAAGGTGGTGGTCACAGCAGACTCATCAGGGAGCGTGGAGCGCCGCCGCGGCGGGGAGGGCCGGCGGCTCTGGACCGGGAGTCTGGTTCCTGCCAGCGTCTCGCCCTCGGCGTCTCTTCCCGGCCCGGGACAACGAGTTCGCGTGGGCCTCAGTGCAGCCCCGGCGGTGGCAGCGCTGGGGGTCTGTCCGGTCTAGTTTAGTGTGCTCCCCACGGGCGTTGCGCAGTGGGTGGCCTGGAGAGCGCCCGGTGTCCTAGCCCGGGGGGCGTCACTAGTAAAGCCATGTAACAGAGTAGATCAGCCATGCATTCAGTGTCTGCCCTTCACGGCACAAGGGGGCGCTCTCATCGGTGCACGACAGACTGAAGACCACTGGACGCCACCCGACCGGGAATCTGTCGGAGCCAAAGCACAGGACAAGGTCAGCGTGTGGCCAGGGGCCGGTCCGGTCCGTGGCTGCCCTGAACGAAGGGGACGGGTGTCGCCCAGCCCCGCTCCGGATGCCCGCGCCCCAGCCGCCGCAGGAGCGCCCTCCGCGGCCAGGACAGGTGCTCAGCGCAGCAGTGGCGGGGAGACGGGGGAGGAGACGAGGCATGCAGGCGGAGCCGAGAAGCTCGCGACGACGGGACCCTAGTCCAAGCGGCAAGAGACACCTGACCCCGGCCACGCCCCACCCCAAATCATCTCGTATTCTGACACGGGGGCCAGGCCCCCAAGGCACTGGGCCCCCCGCCCTTCGAGGGAGAGGCGACAAGCAGTGCCCCTGACAGTCCCCAGGGCACCGCCGTGCCCGAGCCCAGCTGCAGCCCTCCGCGGAGGGGAGCAGCAGCCCAGCCCCGGCCCAGCCATGCGCGGCGGCGGCAGGGAGCAGCGGCTGGGCCGGCAGGCCAGTGCACGGACAGCAGGGACGAGGAGCCGGGCAGAGGCCGAGTCAGGAAGGAAGAACAAAGCGCAGAGGACAGGGGAGCGCGGAGGGAGGGAGCGACGACAAAGCCAGGCCCGCAGAGCCCGCAGGAGTCTCCGCGGCGAGCGCGCCAGAGACCCCACCAAGCGCGGCCACTCAGCTGAGCGCGACAGACACACGACCCCAACGGCCGACACCGAGGCGCAGCGGCTGGCGTGTCCCGGGGCCACTGGAGCTGGGCAAGGGCGGAGCCCCAGGCCCTGCTCCCCAGCAGCCGGTCCTGGAGTCACCCCACCGGGGACTCCCTGCGGTCTGCCTGCCCCCCAGTCCGGGCACCTGGCTGCAGGCGCTGGGCTGTGCTCGAGGGGAAGAACTGGGCGGAGGGCCCTCGCTCCACCTGCAGCGCCTGGCGTGCGAGCCCCCAGGGGGCGAAGGGTCAGCTCCCGCCCGCCCCGGCGCCTGCCGTCAGGAGACCGCCGTGAGCTCACTCACCCAGTGCCGCCTTCCGACGCAGACGCGCAGCTACTTGCCGTGGTGCTCGAAAGGAATGCTATTCTGAGGTGGGAAAAGACAGCTGTTGGTACAGGGGCCGCCGGCCGGCCCAGCACAAGGCCTCCTGTTTCCACAAGTGTGTCCTCCACCAGGTCCGCCCTCACTGGCCGGGGTGCCGCCGAGGGGACCCCGGGAACCACCGGGGGTTCAGCCTCACCCTCTGCCAGCCCCGAAGCCAGAGCAGCTGTGGCCGCCCCTCTGGGGAGACCTGCCTCCGAGACTGACTCGGGGCCGGGGCAGACCCCGGACCCTCCCGCAGCGAGCGGGCCCGAGGCCCAGCAGCTGCCCTGGGCCTCACTCCCCGCTCAGAGCGGCCTGTGCCTGGGCAGCTGGAAAGGACAGCGCCTCCCCGTGACACACGGGTGGCCACACTTCCTCGCGGCACGAGGACGAGCATGGGGCCTCATCTGGGCGACACAACGTGGACTGAAGGTGAGACGGGAGCAAGTGGCCCGAGGACCGGTGCCGTCCCTCTACCAGCACCGCTGCACCGAGACCGCACCGCGTGCCACCGTGTCCACTGGACGCCCTTCAGCCTCCCACCACCGTGGCCCAAGGGGCAGGACGCGCGGGGACCGAGCCGCCCAGGGCTGGTCCAGCACCAGCTGCCCGCGAGAAGGGAGTGGGAGCGAGGAGGAGCGGCCGCCCTCCGCAGAGTCGGGCGCATGGCGGCCGGGGGCCCGGAGAGGGACACGCCAGACTGGCTGGAGACAGCAGGGCCTCTGACGTGGGCTGGGGGGGGGGGGGCCACAGCTCTGAGCCGCTCTCTGCCGAGGCTGAACCACCTCCCGGCCGGGAGCACGGGCACCGGACGCGACCCCTCCTCGAGGGCACGGAGGAGACCTGCCGCAGGTGAGCCGGCGTCGGGAGGCATGCGAGGCTGCTGCGCCGTGCCCGCTCCTTCAGGGGGGCGCGCGTCCGCAGGAGGCACTCCGCCTGCTGCCCAGCGTCCAAGCTCAGGGACCTCGCCCTGGGACAGCAGGGCCGCTCGGAGCCGCCCCCGGGAGCGCGCCCACGGAGACCAGGAAAGCTGAGACCTCGCCGTGCCCGCAGCGGAGCAAGGGGACGCGCCCCAGGAGCCAGGCCCCCCGTGAGGGAGACCCGAGGAGATCTCTGGGGCGACCAGCGGTCACCGCTGGGAGGCTG